GTGTCGGTGATGAAGGTTCTGGGAGGGTTTCGGCATGCGCGCGTGGCCGGCGGGCGCTAGTGGCGCGATCGTGCACCCCCCCAGCAAGCGAGCAAATGGCGTTCGAAGGATTTCGACATGAGCGCGCGAAAGGCCCGCTCGGTCGCATCTGATGAAGATGCTGAACAAACGATGGTTGTCGGAAGAGTTCGCAAGAGCGTGCGCGCAGCCTTTCCTGATAAACCATGCTGCAAAACCACAAGTTCGCACACATGTTCGGAAACCTCCACCTTGAAATGCTCATGGGAAGCTTTTTGACGGAGTCCGGCATGCGCGCGCGACACCGCGCGCGTGTGGCCTTCGTATATTTCTGATGCAAGGGATTATTGAAAATTAGCGAGTGCGCGCGCATAGTACGAGTCGACGAGGATGAAGGGAGGTGTCGATGAGGGGTCTGGCTGGGATGGTATGAACTTATGTTAAAATAAACGGTGGGGCCGAATCACATGTAAACTACACGATCCCAGGAGGTAGCGATAAACCCGGGGGTAGCTAAGCACATTTGTTTTAAAAAGGAGAGCCTACGTGGAACAATTGTTGTGCAATGTAGGTGGCGCAATATTCGTTGTGCATTTGATGTGGTGCAATCTATGTTGTGCACTCTACTTGGGGTACTATATGTGGTGCAGTCAGCGTGGTGCAATCTATGTTTTGCAACCGATGTTGTGCCACATCTGTGGTGAATCTACGTGGTGCACCATATGTGGTACAGTCTGTGAGGTGCCTTCTATGTGGTGCAATTAATTTCTGTTCGCAATGAGTTGTCCACTCCACTGCTCGCGCAAACATCCCACCCACCCACCCGCAACTTGGTTTGCAAAATCTCTTAAGACCGTGACGGTGGGTACCAAATGGCACTTGGCAACAACAGCGACGCCGACGACAACAGCGACAACGACGACGACGACGACGACAACGACTACGACGACACCGACGATGTCTCCAACGACTTCGACGACGCCGACAACGACGACGACGACGCCGACGACGACGACGACGACGCCGACGCCGACGACGACGACGACGATGACAACGACGACGACGATGACGACGCCGACGACGACGATGACGACGACACCGACGACGACGCGACGTCAACGACGCCGACGACGACGACGACGACGACGGCGGCGACGACGACGACGCCGACGTCGACGACGACAAAGACGACAACGACGCCGACGCCGACGACGACGACGACGATGACGACGACGACGTCGCAACGAAGACGACGAGGGAGGAGGAAGGACGACGACGGCGACAACGACGATAACGACGACAACGACGAGGGAGGAGGGAGGACGGCGACGACGCGAACGACGAAGAAGGAGGAAGGACGGCGACGCCGACGACGGCAACGACGAGGGAGGAGGGAAGACGACGACGACAACGACGACGACGACGACGAAGACGACGACGGCGACGAAATAGGAGGGACGACGACGAGACGCCGACGACGGACGACGACGACGACGACGAGGGAGGAGGAGGAAGAACGACCACGGCGACAACGACGACGGAAACGACCACGATGCCAAAGAGGACGACGACGACGAACACGAGGAAAAACAGGACGACGCAGGCGACGACGACGACGACGCGGGAGGAGGGAGGACGGCGACGACGACGATGACGCAAGAGCGCGCGCGCACGCTTTTGTTGAAAATCCGTGTTGCGAAACCTCGTGTTTTTGTATGTTTCTTGGACACACGATTTTGAAACCCTTCCGAAACCGATGGGTTTTGAAGGTTTTCGGCATACGCGCGCGACGACGCGCGCGTCTGCATTTCGTCTTTTTTTTGCAGAGGGTTTTCGCGACGGCACACGCGCAAGGGCGATCGACAGATTTCGACATGCGCGTGCGCGAAGCAACTTTGGTAGCATTTTGTGAAAATCTTGAAAAACAGGTGGTTCTCTTGAAATGTTGCAAGAGCTCGCGCGGAAGCTTTTTTAGCAAATGAGTGTTGCGAAACCATGTGTTTGCGTTTTTGGTTGAAACTCGATTGCGAAATCCTTCCGGCACCGAGAATTTTTGAAGGATGTCGGCATGCGCGCGCGACGATGCGCGCGTGTGCACTTCGCCCCATCTGTTGCAAGGGGTTTGCGAAAAAGTGTCATGTTAAAACAGCAAATGTCACCGCATAGTGTTTTTTCTTTTGTTTTACATTTTTTGAACAAACAAAAAAACAGAGAAACAACAAAAAAAACAATGGACCCTCAGGGGGGGATACCAGGTGGCATTTGACATTGCGATTTTATATTTAAGATGGACATGTGGTCAAACTCGTATATGAGGTACATACCCGAAAGGGGGACCGATAACGCTGGGGGGGGGGGTAGATCCTATTCTTTTTTTTTTTTTTTTTTTTTTTTTTTTTAAAAAAAAAAAACAGGAGAATCTATGTGGGGCAATCTGTGTTGTCAATATGTGATGCAATCTTTATCGTGCAATCCACGTAATGCAATCTAGGTCGTGTAAGTCATCCGTGCTCAACTTGAAATTGTCCAGACCACTGCTCGCGCAAACGTCCCACCCACTCACCCGCAAATTGGTTTGCAAACCCCGTGCGGCGGCGATTGCGATGAGTGCTTGGCGCTGGCTGGTGCACCTCTGCGGCCGCGACAGCCCGCGCATGCACGCGCGCGCACATGCACTTTGGCGCGACCGACGCAGCCGCGGTGGCTTTGACCGCTGGGCATATCCCAGCGGGCGCTTCAGTGCGAATCGGCGACTTGGGCGGGCGCGGTACCATGGCAACGTCGACAACGGTACACACGGTGATCATAGTAGCGGTGTTGGCAACGATGCTGCCAGCAACGACCACGGCCAGTGACGGCACGGATGCTGATCACGCCGACGACGATGACGGCGCCCTCGCGTCGGAAGAGTTCGACATGCGCGCGCGGCCGGCGCACGAGATTGGCCCGCGTGGTATTATTTGAAACAGATCGCGCCCTCCCCCCACCACGCGCGCAAGGGCGTGCGAAAGATGTCGGCATGCGGCGCGAGAGGCCCGTTTGGCAGAATTCCATGTACATGTTGGGAAAAAACTACGGTTGTCGTCGTCTTAGAATTCGCAAGAGCGCCAGCGCATGCTTTTTGACAACTAATGTTGCGAAGCATTGTGGTTTACATGCTTTTGTTGAAACTTCGGTTTTGAAGTCGTTAAGAAACCGAAGGTCTTTGAAGGATTCCGGCATGCACGCGATTCGCGAGCGACGACACGCGCGCGCACTTATGCCCATTCTTTGCAAAGGATTCTCGCGACGGCACGCGCGCAAACGCGTTCAAACGATTTCGACATGCGCGCGCGAAGCCCGTTTGATGGTTGTTCTGAAAGTGATAGACCTATGGTGTCCTCGAGAATTCGGAAGAGCGCGCGCACGTTTTTTTGAGAATCAATGTTGCGAAACCCTATGATGTCATATGTTGTTTGAACGCTCGTTTTTGACATCCTTCCGAAACCGAGAGTTTTTGAAGGATTTCGGCATGCGCGCGCGACGACGCGCGCGTGCGCACTTCGTCGGATTACTTGTCCCAAGAGATTTTTGAAAACTTATGATGTTTGATAAACGAGTGTGCGCGCACTTTTACTTGCAGAGGATGGCGTCCGGGGGGGAGGGTGCTAGAACCTATATATTTTCAGAAAAGAAAATATATGTTGGGCAATCTATGCCGTGCAAATCGACGGGGCGATGACGGGGCTGTGACGGCGACCGAGGAGCCGACAGACCGACAGCCAGGCCCACACGACGAGCGGCAACGGGGCAGCGATTGGGCGGCGACCGCGACAACATAGCCACCAGACCGACGCGCAGGCCCAGACAATGGCCAGCGACGAGGCGGCGACGGCGACCGCATCGCCGCGAGACCGACGCACAGGCCCAATTCTCTAGGAACCGAAGAAGAACCACGAAGTGCAAGCGCTGTTTGGGGAATGTGTGATTTTCGATGTGTATGGCCACCGCAATGCCGTCGTGCACCACAGCGCCGACGTACATCACGGTGCTTGCACAGCAGCCGTGTGCACCACAGCCCCTGGCGCCTGCCTATGTACACCACGAAGCCTGAATTAAACCCACGGGGCTCCGACGGGGCCCAAGCTTGGAACAACGTCGTGGGCCCGAACCTACCCGTTTCATTATGTAGGTTGTTTGTAATGACTGATGCTTCTGGCCCGGGCCATCATGAAATTGTGGCCCGCAATGCCTGCATTCACTACAGCGACTTCTGTTCGACGCGAAACACCAGAGGAGACACACCCACATCGCGAATCACAATGTCGGCAGGCAAATGGGGAGCACGGCACAAGCCGACATGATACAAATATGCTAACTTATGCTATGAACCGAGGCCTGAACAACAAATCGACAAACCAGTTGCGACGGGAGGGAGGAAGACGAAGCACGATTAGAGTGTGGAGAAGGGAGACAGGAGAATCGCGTTGTGTTCGCCTGCGTACACTATGGCGACTGTCCACATCGACGGTGAACACCACGGCGCTTGCATACAGCAAACTACCTGTGCGCACATCAACGCCTGGGTCAGCACCTGGGGCAGAAACAAGACTGACCAACGGGTGGGCCCACGGGGGTCACTGGGCAAGACTGACTCTGCCTCCGCTCCGCCCTGAGGAGCCTACCGCGTGGGAGACGCACAGGTCCTCCTCGCCCTCCTGGCCCAGCGACCTTCCGGTCGCGTCCTGCGCTTCTCGAACACAAAACGGCATAGACATAAACTTTCGGAGGCCCGCGGGGATTTCTCGGATCTGCGCAGGACCTCCCTGACTGGCGCGCAGAGCGCACCAAGGGCGGCGCCTGAGGCGCTGCCAGGGGGGTTCCGCGCAGATCCAAGAAATTCGCACGGACGTCAGAAAGCTAGTGTTTTACAGTTTTTCTTCAGCGAGCTCCCTGCGCCCCCCCCCCCACCGACTGCTCACCCCTTCACTGCACAGCGGGGCCTCAAGAACACGTCCTCGCCGTACGTGTCCCATTCGAACTTCAGGCTCTCCACGCACCCGTCGAGCCCGTCACCCAAGTCCTGCATCCCCTTCCTGGAGACGATCTCCAAGGGCCCGTGGAGGCCGTCCTTGCAGTTGTTCAAATACATGCTGTCCTCTGCGCTGCGTCCTTCTAAGTGGCGTCTTACACGCTCCGCGAAGAACACCGCGTCGGCATCCACCTTTATTGTGAAGTCGTGCTTCGGGGCCTGGCCGCCGGCCAGGACCTGCCCCCACAGACGTGCGAACACGGCGGAGTTCAGCGCGGTGTTGTACACGCCGCCCTTCTCGACCTTGAGAGAACCATCCACCGTGGTGGCAACGACTTGTCTGCCCGAGCCGACGTCCTCGCCCAACTGGAGAGGCTCCCCGCTGAACACGTCGTAGCCATCGCACTGGAAAACGCTGGTGCCCTTGGCCACCGCGTTTTCCATGAGGGCAACCTCGTAGCTGCCTGCCATCACCAGCACGAAGCAGTACAACTCCGCCGAGCGGCGGGCGGCCGCAGCTGCCGCAGCGGTCGTGGTGTCGGCGGGCGCCGGCACGCCCCCGCGGGAAAGCAGCGTGCAGGTCCAGGGGGTCTGCTTCTCGGGCGCCTCCTCTGGGTGCACGCCCGGCTCGCAACTGGGGCGACAGGCGGCGTATCCCTCGTCCTTTTCGAAGCAGCTCGAGTGCGGATCCAAGCAGCACTGGCTGTCCCTGCAGTCGTCGTAGAAGTGGGAGCACATCGAGTGCTCTGTCGGAGACAATGACGAATTGCTCTTCGACGCCTCGGCGTGGGACGGCTTGAGCTCAATCGTGACTGCTGGGTCCGTCGTGGTCGCGGCTGTCGTGATACTGGTAGCGACCGTGGTGGCAGACGTCGTGACTGTCGTGACAGTAGTAGCGACCGTTGTGGCAGTGGTCGTGACTCTCGTGCTTGTTAGAGTCGCGATTGTCGTGACAGTGGTAACGACAGTTCCAGTACTGGTCGTGACTGTCGTGTCTGTCGTGGTCGCAATTGTCGCGGGAGTTGAAACGACCGACGTGTTAGCTGTCGTGACTTTCGTGGCGCTCGTCCTTGCGACAGCGCCCTGAGACGCAGCTGTGCCGTGGGTATCTCGCAACGTCCTGTGATTGTCTTCGTGCTCGCCACGATCGCTGATCTGAATGACAGGCGTGCCCAAGTCAGCGGCGGCGGAATCGGCAGCGGTGGAGGGCACGAACGGATCAGCGTACTCCAAAGGATCTCGCCCGTCTTGCAAATGGCGCACCACGATGATGCCAGCCGGCACCTCCTCCAGCACCGCCGCTCTCCTCTATGCCGAAAACGAACAACCAGCCTTGTACTTACCCCTATCCCCATGACTGACAAACCAAAAGGCGATGACAATCTAAGGGATGAGCCCTCGAAAACTGAGGGAATCCTTAAAACCGGCATCGAGATGAAGCGAAGCCAATCATCGGGATAAAGATATGCTCCAGGCTGGTAAACGTAATCATACAATCCGCTTCACCCCACCCCCCAGACACGGACACACCGCACACCATGCAAAGTGCACAAAGTGACGCCATCGCGGCCCTTTGTGCCCCCTCGCGAGCTCTGCCTCTCCATCTCCTGCTCCTGTTCCTCCCCCATGTCCTCTCCTTCCCGCTCCCTCCCAAAACCCCACCCTGTCTTCCTATTCCCCTTCTGGCGGCGAGCGAGGGGGTTTAAATCAGGAGGAGAAGGCCTCCTCCTAATTCTCGGAAGTCCCCTGGCCTTCCGTGAAGTTGTGTCAGCCATCCTGAGACACAAAAACCCTGTCACAAGACGCGAGGGCTTCTGAGAAGTCCCGCCGCCTTCAGAAAAGGCTTTGTCCTTATGACTTCATGCGACTTGTGATTATTAAATCCGTGGGGGGGCGCGTGTTTTAAAACATAGTTCCCTTGCTCGGGCGAATCGCGGGGTGGCGCCCGCCAGATTAAAAATCAATGTTGCGGCGCCGGTGAATGGCGCGGACGCCCGGCCGCAAACGAGGGGCAATGGGGGGGCCTGCGGGCAAGGCGGGCTGGACGAAAGCTGGCGCACCAAAGGGGGGATTTGCCAAACAGCTCACGTCGCCGATTTTCCAAGCGCCTCCTGGCGCCAAAAGCGGCCATGCGTCGAGGACTGGCCTTTCGGCAGGGCGACCGAAACCAGCTGCGCGAAGCAGGCTTTGCAAGCCCCCCTTTCCTTCCCCAGCCGTTCGTGCGACCCGAATAAGGCGGGTAGTCCTCCTCCCCCCCTCTGTCTCCGTCGTCGCCGCCGTCCCCCGCTTTGCCTGCGCCCGTTTCCAGCGGCTGCTCTTTTCGTCGACGACGACAACGACGACGACGGGACGATGACGAGGACAACGGACGGCGGACGGCAGACGGCGGCGGCGGCGACGACGAAGACGCACTGCGGATGCTCTGTGGGGGGGGGGTTGCTGCGCAGGCCCGCTGTAGTCGACGACGGCGACGACGAAGACGACGACGACAAGGACGACGAAGAATAAGAATAATAAAAAGGAGAAGATGACGACCACGACGACGACGACGACGACGACGACGACGACGACGACGACGACGACGACGACGACGACGGCGGCGGCGGCGGCGGCGGCGGCGGCGGCGGAGACGACGACGACGACGACGCCTGAGAGAGGGAACGAAAATTCGCCTCGGATGTGTACGACCCATATAAAACAATTCTATACGAAAGGCAATCGTTTTGAGGTTGTCATGAAAGGGGGGTACACGATCCCCTCGGCGGCACCAGCGACGACCCCCTGGCGCGCGTGATGAAAAAGTTTCGCGCGCCGCGGGGTCTATTCATCAGGCCCAGGGGGGGGGCTAGTCTTTTGTTACTCACAAGCTGACATTGCGCCCCCCCCCCCTTGCTCGCCGTTGACCCTGCCCCCCGGCTTTCTCCTCCGCCTCACAAAACCTTCCCCTCCTCCACCTCCCCTGGTCCCGGAAGCCCTCTCCTGGCCCCCGCATCGAGACTGCTGGGACGCAGAACTCCAGCCCGGGGAGTTGCCTCTTGGGGGCCCCGAGCGCTAGGCAGCATCGTTCTCAAGTGCAGCATCGCTGCTTCCCCTCTCTGGGCTCCTCCCGTCTCCCTCGTCCCCCTCGTTCCCCTCCGGGCCCGACTCGCAGTCGCTGCCATCTTTCGGAGGCGAGCGAGGGGGGGAGAGTGAGAAGGAGAAGGCCTTCTCGGAAGGCGGCGGGACTTCTCAGAAACCCTCGCGCCTTCGGGGAATCTTTGGTATCTGTGTCTCCGGGGAAGGCTTGGAGAACGTCTCAGAAGGCCGCGTGGCGCCCGCTCGCGTGCGCGGCCGCGCAGCTGGCCACCTTCGGCTCCTCGTCGCCCTCGCCTCCTTGCGGCGTGTTCGGAGAGGTGCGCGCTGGGTACGTATGGTACGCTGTTGGGCGTCCTCGGCATCGTTGCCTACAGCCCAATCGCAATCTCGAGGCCTCATTCGTCGAGTTGCCGGACATCTACTCGAAACTGCGCATCGCCTACGAGGGCTACTTTTGCCGCTACGGCAACGCGTCCCTGGCGCTTGCGGCGGCAAAATCTATGCCTGATATCACGGCGTACTGCCACGAGCTTGTGGGCTTCACCTCGGGACTACCGATCGCCTAAGGTACCAATTGCCTTGCAGTCGCGGGCTGCTTCGTTGTCTGCCCCTGCCCGTGTTCCACCTCGCTGGGAAGCTCCGGGGAGCTGAGCATCTTCATGGTGCTGCCGATCGGCTTCCATGATCCATGATGACTCCTGCCGTTACGGCAGCGCGTCCCTGGCGCAGGTGGTGGCCTCCGAGCTCCACATCACGGTGGAGGGTCACGAGGTTCCGGGCCTGCACGCGTGGCTGCCGATCTTCTTCGGCCCCGGCGGCTCCGCAGGCGCGGGCTGCTGCGAGGGCGCGTCCGAGGCGTGCCTCCCTGGGGGAGGTGGCTCCTCTGGAGAGCTTGCCTTTGCTGAGGACATGTACTGCGGGCTGCGAATACGCTGAGCATCGCAGCGGAGCGTAACGAAGCGCTGGGCATCTACAAGGGGCTGACGAACGCCTACGTGGACCACTACTGCCGCTTCGGCAAAATGTCCCTGGCGCATGCGGCGGTTTCCCACCGCAACATCACGGCGTAGTGCTACTAAGTGGCGGGCTTCACGGCGTTGCCGTTCGCCTGCGAGGATCACCACTGCTGCTACGGCAGCTCGTCCGTGGCGCAAGCAGCGGCTTCCAAGCTCAACATCACGGCGCAGTGCTACGAGGTTCAAGGCGTCAACTCGTGGTTTGCTGCTCTCCTACGTCCCCAACTGCCCTGCAGTCGCGGCCTGCTTTGAGGACAGAACGAGCAAGACCTCCTGTGTGTAGGCGGCGCGCGGGCCCGCGCCAAACTGCGCCGAGCGCAAACGTGCCCCTCCCAGCGCCGCCACCCGCGCTCCCAATGCCTCTGCTTCTGCCTTTACGCCTGATCGCGCTCCTCCGGCCACTGTTCGCCACCTTCCTCCCTCCCTACACTGGCGCCTGGGCTGGGGCACAGGAGGGGGCGCCGCGAGGAAACCAGAGAGCCTGCCCTGAGGACCCTAGGGGGCCTAATTTAGGAATCCACAGTGATGGTCCGCCTACCCGGGCAGACGTAGTGAAAGCACGCGCGCGAGCTCCCGGCAACCCCGCAACAGCGTAGTCGGACCGAGACCCCAGAAAACTGAACAGCTCTACCTTAGAACCGCCCTGGACGCCGCCTAGTTTGCACCAGAGGGGCAAATCATGGCTTGCACGACGCAAGCTGCACCACGCTGACTGCAGTGCACAGGTCTCGTCCCACACATCGTGCACCGCGTAGATCTCCAGCGTCCATCGAATGCAATCCCGCGCCGATTGGGGCCCGCCCTCTGCTCGAACTTCTGCCACGGCTTTGTTGGCAGGAAGAGGGGCCCGCGCGCAGTCCAGAGTTGAGCCCTGCGCGCCTGAGAAACCCTCGGTGCCATCATCCGCGCGAAAATCGCACATGGCGGCGCCCTGGGACCAATCCTGGGTGCGCTTGCGCACAGGGGGGGGGGGATGCTCGTTCTCTTATGTTGGGAGCTCCCCCGAACCAGCTGGTGAGATATCAGGTGGTGACCTGGAAGCCACAAACAATCACCGCCGGGATCTGGAACACGGGGTCATCGCCGGGCTTGTGACTCCTGGACCCGCCAGCGGTCGGGACATCCTCGAAAAAATACACGAGACCCCAAACTGGGTGGTGACACCAACTCGCCCGCGACTCACCGCCTGGTGTTGTCACCACCACGTTTGGGGACTACCAATGCAGATGTTCCCTCGTCAGTACCTGCCGGTGGACACTTCGCTGGGATGCCACAGCGTGCCAGGCATCTTCCTGGGGCCTCCGTTCGCGGGAGACCTCCATACGCACTTCGCGAACTACGGCACGCATTGACAGCGCGCCACGTTAGCCACGGTCGAGCGTTCCGTGTTTTTCTGACCGGGGCCACCTTTAGGTCGGGCGTGTCCCCCTACAGGCGGATTCTGGAGGAAACACCAAGAATTGCCCAAACAAATATTCAACAATGTTTTTGCATAAAAAAACGTACCCATATTATTCTTCATGATTGCTGCTATTCCTCACGCAGAGGGACATGCCTGAATAAAGGACACGTTCCCGCCCCCCGCACGAGTCAGCCTGCCCTCCGCTGTCTGCGCCGCGCCGTCCCCGTGTGGCGTCGTTCCGTCGCAGCCAGTGTTCGTCTCGGGAACCGCACTCCCCCACCTGTTCTCAACCTGTGGAATACCCATCGGCATGAAAAAAGGAAGGCGTTGAACGTAGATTGGGTTCCGTCCGCAATCTAAGAGGACGGAGAAGGCGAAGTCACTCGGTCATTGAAGTTAAAAAACGCTTAAGGCATATTGCGATCTGGGAATCCAAAAATACCGACTTTCAACGGCCGATGGGAAATTTCTCGTGTGCGTGCATGGCTCTGCACGGCCGTGCTCCTTTTTCGCTTGCTCTCGCAAAGCGCTTCGCACGTCCATTGAGCGACGATCAAAAACGGGTCTCGCGAGAGATGACGTGGCGACATTGCGCGGTGGCTTACGCGGGCAGGCCAGCGCGGCACTTTCCATTGGAAACGAGGGCGCTTACGCGCGACCTGGCGCAGGCAGCTTTCGCGCAAATGTCGGCGCCGACGACCCCGATTCTCGGCGCCGCTCAATTGGCCTTTGGCGTTCAGCCCCTGGTGAACGAGCTGTCTTTCCACTGCTCTTATCCGAATGCGTAGTCACTGTCCTCCGCTCTGGTTTTCCATTCTCGCCCCTGCTTCACTCCCTTGCCTTCGGTTTGGGTTGGCGCTCGCCCACTCGGACCTCGAGCCTCCCTCGTGTTTGAAGGCCACCGGCGACAAGCCGATCCTTTTTTTTCCGCGGGGCTCGTCTCAGGCTCTGCGCAAGCGGCCACTCGACCGAAAACAACGCCACACCACCTACGGCCCCCGATGGGCCGTAGCGCAATATGGAGGGCCGTCATTGGGGTGTTGTCGTTTGTTGTTGGTCGGCTTTCGACACGCCCCTATGCCTCCAATCTGTTGACGCAACAACATTGCAGCAGTGGGTGGGTATTGGTCACTTGCTGAAGCGCCATCCCGTTTTCGGGGATAGTCCATCCGGCAGGTGAGGTGTCACACGCGGCTTAAACATAATTTCCGATATTTCGCGGTTGCGCAAGTGACTGGCCCCGCGACCGCCATCCCACCCCCTGGCCACAACACGATTTGCGCGCGCGCCGTCTAGATAGAAACCATTCCTATGAATTCCCAGACGGCGCTGGCGCGAATCGCGACGCGAATGCCCCCACACCCAATCCCGGCCACGCCCGCTATCGCCATGGAGATAGATGTAGAAACCATAGGAGTCGTTCCTTGACTACTTACCAGACCACCCCAACCTAACCCGATGACCCAACATCCCGGGTGGGAGGGCACGGGGGCCACATCTGTTTTTGCAATGTTCCCAGGCGCAGTGAAGCCTTCGGGTTGATTGGGTGGCTTGGTGCGTGGTGATTCCTCTCAAGACCGGTCTCTGGAGCCCTCCAGGGGTCCACCTCGTGCAGCGCTTCACCCCAGATCAGCTCTTGATTGTCCTGGGGCCCGACAGCGGCACCCCCACGCCGACAAAACACAAGGAAAGAAATTCTCCCGCTCCGCGCAGGCGAGGGGCCGTCGGGCGGGAACCGCGGCCGACGGGCGCGAACAACGCTCAAAAGGGCCGAGCCCCAGCGCGCGCGCGGGTCGAGCGGCTGCCCCGGGGCAGCATCAGCCATACTCGAATCACTAACCTCGGACGTCGCCCTCCCCTTCCTACTCGCGGGAAGCTGTGTAGCGCCAACTCGGACCGCTGGCCGGCTCCAAATTTCAAGCTCCATGGCCAGGATTAGGTAGGGCATGTCCTCCTACAGGCCGATGTTGGTCTAACAATGAAAAATAATAAAGAAATAATGTTCGAAAATTCGTCCCCAGACTATTTTGTTCGACTATTTCTGATGGATATTCCTCCTGTAGAGGGACATGCCCGACTTCAGACCAAGAGGTCGAAGACGGCCCAGCATCCTCAGGACTCGTTCCCCTCAAATGTTTGCCCGTTGGCTTTCGGGCCATAGCTCGGCTCTCCCGTGGCCGTTCGGAACAATTTGACCACGCCTGGAACGTCCTCGACGAGGCGCAGCTGCTGGAGAGCATTCCGAGGCTGGAAAGCCGCCCAGAACTGACGAAATTTGCCAAAACCCTCGAAACCTCGGGGCCGTGCTCCCCAGACTCCCGGCGTCATGATTTCTTCACAGCGTCGACCTCCAGAGGTCTCGACCCATTCCGCAGGAGCGCTTTTCATCCCACCGATGAGAACCGACGAAAACGAGAACCGACGAGAACCGATGGAACACAGCCGAGAAGCGACGAAAATGCCCGACTGAGACGAAGCCAAGACGATAATCAAATCGGGTGAGGATACATCGGGGATCTCCGAGATGCGGCGGCTTTGGAAGTTGTCTCGGGCGCCGCGGCCTCGTAAGAGCATTCCAGGAGGCCCTGAGAGCGTTCCGGAGGAGGGGGTGGAGGAGGAGGAGGAAGGAAGGAGGAGGAGGAGGAGGAGGAGAGGAGGAGGAGGAGGAGGAGGAGGAGAGGAGGAGGAGGAGGAGGGAGGTGGTGGAGGAAAGGGGAAGGGGGGAGGAGGGGGAAGAGGGGGAGGAGGGGGGAGGAGGGAAAGGGCCAAGAAGGACGAGGAGGAGGAGGAGGAGGAGGAGGAGGAGGAGGAGGAGGAGGAGGAGGAGGAGGAGGAGCCCCGTCCGTCCACCAGCCTCGAACCTTGGGACCCGCGCTGCTCCTCAGCGAAGCGCCGCGCCTGGCCCTCGGCGCCCCCTCGCCCGCCGGCAGCAGCCACGGGCGCGCGCGCGCGCCCACGGCAAGGGCGGTGGCCCCGAGTGCCACCGCCGCTCCTGGGGCGGGAGGGGGGGGGAGGGAGGGAGGAGGGAGGAGGGAGGAGGGAGGGAGGGGAGGGAGGGAGGAGGGAGGAAGGAGGAAGCAGGCGGGAGGAGGAGGGAAGAGAGAGGAGGAGAGAGGAGCTGGGAGGTGGGCGGGCCATGGGTCTATGCCACCACCCTGCAAGAAACACCTCGACCAAAACGGCCATGCGCTTCAGGGGACGCTTGAATCCGTTTGCTCATTCTTCGCGATAGCGCCACTGACCAGCCCCCCCTCTCCCTCCTCCCCCCTGATCACGCCACGACTGGCGCAGGCGGCGTCTTGGAATCAGCAAGTCTAGTCATTCCTCTGCATGCCCAGACGGCGCCGGCGAGAATCGTGGTGACGTGACCGGCCGTTGACCACCGGGGAATCACAAAACGCTTCCCTTTGGGGGTCGCACCGGGGTCTTCATGGGACTGCCTGGCCCGGGGGGGTGTCTTCTCGCAAGCGGCGGCGCCGCCCCCCCCTTCCTCGTCCAACGTTGTATCGAAACCCTCGGTGCGGCAGCGGCCTCGTCCCCAGGCCCCCGACGTTGCAACGTCTACCCCCAGAGGTCTGGACCCCTTCCCCGGGATCGGGTTTTCGCCCTGAGTCGTTTTCTGACGGTCCAGAGCCCCAGTAAGGGCTCCTGGAGGCCGGAGATAGCGGCAAACCTCCCGTCGCGGTGTTCTCACAGTGCGAGATGTTCTGGGTCACGAGCCCCCTCTGGACGGGGGAGGGGGGTCTGCTGAGTCAATCCCCCCAGCTTCTCCTCGGGAGGGCTGTGGTGCGCGCTCCGCGGCCCCGCGTGCGTGCGTGGCCGCGCGCAAGCGCAGGCCGGCCGAAGCTCACCGCCTGGGTGCGCTGGCCGAGAGCTCGGTCGACCAAGGTCAAGCTGGAATGCCACGTTCGGCGTGTCGGGGGAACGCGCCGAGTTCAGCCAACTCTGGGGCCCCGGAAAGGGCCCCCCCAAAACCCTCGTGTGCCCCACTCCGACCCCTGCGAGCAGCGCCCTGAGGGAGGTCGTCAGCAGGCATCTCGCCCAAATCGAAAGGGGCCTCCGCGGGAGCGATTCAGAGCTGCCTCTGGCAAGCCGAATTAGCCAGAGTGGGCATCAGATTGCACCGCTCTGGGCAAGATTGTGCGGGACGAAGCTGGACTAGGCTGGATTAGGTCTGAGCGTGAAAGGCCGCGACCCTCTCTCCCCCAATCTCCCATGTTTTGAAAGAGTCATCCCCCGGAACTATGAGCTGTCCTCGTCGTCGATTCTAGGTTTTTCCCCGAACAGAATATGGCGGCGCGACTTGTTCTAGACGTGGCCCGCCAGACCTCTCGACCTCTTACCCGCCGTCTCCTCATCCTGAGCATTTGTTTGACGATCCCAGGGGCCTGAAACCGCCTCCGTGAGCTCTACAATGTGGCGAAGAATGGGACGCTTCGATTTTGTCGAATCGCGAGAATATATGAGGAGGAGGGTGGAGGAGGAGGAGGAGGAGGAGGAGGAGGAGGAGGAGGAGAAGGAGGAGGATGAGGAGGACGAGGAGGGAGGAGGGGAGGGAGAAGGAGAAGGAGGGGGTGGAGGAGGAGGAGGAGGAGGAGGAGGAGGAGGGCGGAGGAGGAGGGCGGAGGAGGAGGAGAGGCCTCTGGGCGGCTGGGCTCCAACGGCCGCCGCCGCGCGGGCCGCCCGGCCGCCGGCACTGGGCTGCGCTCGGCCGCCGGGGCTGCCGCGCTCGAGGGGGGCGTAGCGGCTGCTGCCGCGGCGGGCGCCCCGCGCGGCGGGCCGCGGGCCGCCAGGCTCCTCGGGCGGCGGGGGGGCCCCGGGCGGGCGGTGGCCCCTCCGAGAGCCCGTCGTGTTTTCTATGTTTTTTTTGCGTGCCAGGCGTTGTCGCGCTTTTTTCTCGGGCACTGGGGCCCTCAGAGTTCGGCGCGGCTCGGGAAGCGGCGCAGACCGATGGGTCTATGGGGCTCTGGGCGCGATTCGTCTTACGGTGCGGCCATTTGTTTTAACCACGTCGGATCTCAGGGGCGGCGATGCTGGCGGTGGCGGCCGCGACGTCGGCGGCGACGGCGGCGGCGACGAGGACGTCGGGGCCACGGCGGCGCTGCGGCGACTGCGTCTCGGCGGCTGCGGCGGCTGCGGAAGCGACACATGGACCTGCGACAGCGGCGGCGGCGGGCCCTGTCATGGGAAGGGGCCCCTTGGGATCGCCCCAGGCCGGGAGAGGAGGCCACCAGCCGGGAGCCCCCGGGTCCGCTGCGGGCTTGCCTCGGGTTGCGTGGCCGAGCTGTCGCCGTCTCTGCTGGGGCGCGGCGCGTCCCCCGTGGACCCGCCCTCGGGCGGAGGGCGTCGCTCCAAGTCTGACCAAGAGGCTCCCATGGTGGCCTCAAGACGCCGAAGGCGGCCCCAAGACCGCCCGAGAGGCCTTCCAGGAGGGCCCCAGAAGCTCCCAAAAGGGCCCCAGATGGGGAATCCGAACCGACATGCCGAACCCTTTCCCTTACGATGGCCCCCGAGACCGCCGGCACGCCCTCGAGAAGCCCCCAGACATACCACTGAGCAACGAAACGAAATTGGGGTTACGCGAAATGTCATACCGACCTTACGCAGCGGCTTGCGCACGCCGCTGGCGCGATGAGCTAAAACGGTAAAACGGAAGCGAGAGCGCTAACGCGCGGCCTTACGCGGGCAGCGTATGCGCCTATATCGGTGACGACGGCCCGTTCTCCTCCGTCGCTCAACTGATGAAAGAGCAGCACACGCTCACGCCTTTCGGGCGAGGGAATGGGGAACAGCAAGGATGTGAAGGCGCTTCAGGTATGGGTGCGGGCTGTCGGACCCCGAGGAAGGCTCCTCTGGCTGCGAACAACGGGCGGCCCTGGTGGGCACAAGGCCGGGCCCTGTTGTGGCGGCGAGCCAGGGGGCGAAATGAGAGGGGGCAGGCTTGCTCTCGAGTAGCCGACAACAGCGTAAACTCATGTTTCAGGAAAAACGCGGGAGTTTCTTGGATCGGCGCCGGACACCCCTGCATGGCGTGCGGAGCGCGCAAGGCGGCGCCCGAGGCGCCGCCAGGGGGCCCAGCGCCGATACCAGAAATCCGCCCAGAGCTCCGGGAACTTATGATCATGCAGTTGGTTGTTCTACGATTATCAGAAGGCGGCGGGGCTTTTCAGAAGCCCTCGCACCTCTTAAGATATGTTCTAAGCCTTCTTCTCCGAATACACTGACATCTTCTCAGAAGGCCAGAAGGCTTCTCAGAAGGCCTGCTCCCTCTCACTTGGCCCCAGGCGCGCCGCCGCAATTGTAGGAATGAGAACCCCACCAGCTTTTTTGGCTAAGGTGGTTTAGTGAGTTCTTTCCTTCCTCTTTCAAAAGCCCTCCTCCCGTCGGGGTGGGGTAGCCTCCCCCCCCCCTCATCTCCCTGCGATTTTCTCGGGGCGGGCCGCGAAGTGCCGGGCATCGAAGATGGCCCAAGATGGCTTCAGGAGGGCGGCGGCTGCTCCCAGGTGGCCTCCAGGATGGCTCAAGGTGGCCGATGATTGTTCAGTACAGCTTCGGGCATCCCTCAGAGAGGCCCGGCAAGGGCCACAAGACGGCTCCAAACTGCTCTTGGAGCCCTCATCAGGACCCCCCCCAAGAGACCAACATCTTTCAAAAACCCATGGTCCATCAATGACTGTTGACTTCTCGCCTTCTCGCTTCCGATGTTCTGTTGAGGCCTCAAGATGGCCCAAGAGTGGCCCAAGAGGCCCTACAGACGGCCCCGAGAGCGCCCAAGAGCGGCCCAAGAGCGGCCCCAGAGGGCCTCAAGAGGCGATTTTGATGGCCCCAGGGGGTGGAGGCAAGTCGAAGACCCCGCTCCTTTGATCGATAGCCTCCAAGATGGCTTCAAGAGGCCCTCGAGGGCTCCCAAGAAGTCCTCAAGAGAGCTCCAAGAGGGCCCCACGACGGCCCCAAGACCCCCCTGAAGAGCCCAAAGAGGATCCGAAGATCCCCCGAAAGAGCCCCAAGAGGGCTCCAAGAGCCGATTTTGAGGGCTTTGTCGTAGTCCTCGTTATCCTTCTTCTCCTCCTACTCTTGCTCCTTAACCTCCTCCTCGTCCTCGTCCTTGACCTCATCGTCTTCGATTTCGTTGCCCTCCTATTCCTCCTCGTCCTCGTCGTCGTCGTCGTCGTCGTCGTCGTCGTGTTCCTCCTCCTCCTCCTCCTCCTCATCATCATCATCAGCAGCATCAGCATCATCATCATCATTGCCACCATCATCATCATCATCATCATCATCATCATCATCATCATCATCATCATCATCATCATCATCATCATCATCATCATCATCATCATCATCATCATCATCATCATCATCATACCATTACCATCACCATCACCATCGTCATCATCATCATCATCATCATCATCATCATTATCATCATCATCATCATCATCATCATCATCATCATCATCATCATCATCATCATCATCATCATCATCATCATCATCATCATCATCATCATCATCATCATCATCCTGCTCCTCCTCCTTCCGGCGCCCCCACGCGGGCCCCAGGGATGGTCCGAACTGGCCCTCCAAGGCCACCCACTTGCTCCAGAAATCTCTCGGTTCACCCTGGTTGCCCGCTCCGTTTCACTACAATAGATGTGCCTTTTCGTCCCCTCCCCCGTCAGCCCTCATGGCTGGGGTTTGTGCATGGGCTGGTGGGGATACTTTTTGGTTAGCGGGCGTGCAGAAAGGGTCGAACGACGAGCGTGCTACGGCGGGCCGCGACGGTAGCGAATAGCTGGTGGGGATACGAGTAGCGTGAAGAATTTCAGACATACACGTCGGTCGGAAGATGTAGTGTAGAAACAGGATGTAGGACGGCGTTGAAAGTAGATTGGGTTCCGTCCGCCCCCTAAGGAGGACGGAAACGGCGAAGCCACTCGATCATTGAAGTAGGAAGGCCCTTAAAGTAGATTGGAATCTGGGAATCCAAAAATACCTGCTTTCAACGACCGATGGGTACGACCCTCCTGAAGAACACCCGACGGATCGACTCAGCAGCCCCGCTTCCCCCCTCCCGTGGGCTCGCGACGGGGCCGCTGCCGCACCGGGGAGCTCGGTGCAGAAGCTGGACGGGGGGCGGGGTGGGGCCGCCGTGGCGAGCAGATGAGCTCCCGACCAGGCAGTCCCCTGACGACTCCGACGCGACCCCGAAGCGCCACCTGAAACCCATGGCCGCGTTCGTTACGTTTCTCTTCCCGGAGTGCGGTCTAAGTGCAGCAGTCCAGCTCAGTCTGGCCCAGTCTGGGGGTCAATCTGGCTTCGTCCAGCTCCATAGCTTTCTTGGTCCGATAGCTTCTCGAAGAGCTGAACGTGCCGTAGCAAGACGTGATTATTGTGGGGCGTTGCAGGGCCATGTTACATAGTCATCCATGGTCATTGCAGACTCTTCGAAAGGGTCGCCTTGGGCAGCATGGTAAGAAAGCTGGGCTGCTCACAGAAGGCACGAACAATCAGGAACAGAAGCCCTTGCTGGCCCCCAAAGCGCCTGCGTGCACGAGGCGGGCTGGAGGAGCAGCCATGGAAGAACCCAAGGAGCATCGCGCCCCTTCCGAGCCCCAATTGTTCCTTGCGTCAGAGTCTTGACGATGAGATCCTAAGATCCTGGCGGGGAGCAGCGATGCTCGTGTGTGATTCCTCCAGGGGCCGGCCAGGGCAAGCGCCGCCAGTATCTCGCGGCTGCGGCGGGGGCGTCCACACCTAATGACTGTGAGTAGAAACATCACGGCCTTGGAAACTCGAAATTCAGCCGCACTGACTGCAGGACCCCCATCATTTCTTCAGGGCACCTTTTGCATGGTTATGACAGGTCCCCAGGAGAGCCCAGAATCGAATCGATAAGTCGGATCGGCAATCGAAATAAATCGGATCGGAGGAAATCGGCAGCCGAGTCGGGAAAAGTCAAATCGGCGGAACTGGCAGGCAAGTATGCCTCCGATAAGGAATCGGATCCCGAATCGGAATCCGAAGTCGAATCGAATCGGAATCGGAATCCATCGAAATCGAATCGAATCGAATCGAATCGAAATAATCTAAATGAGCCCTGCTGGTCCCTCGCTGGGCCCGCGCAAGAAACATGAAGACTACCTCGTGGGACACGTCCTGGGCCCGATCCGGCTCTACACATGCGCCGGCCGAGTGCGGCAGCAGCGGCCAGTCCCTGAGACACTTCAAGGGGCCCAGGGACACACAGATAAAAACATACAAATAAAAGGATTCCCCACGTGTTCCCATATTTGTTTGGTTTTCGCCTTCCCCCCACTTCCCATCTTTTCCTATATTTTCCTGGGGGTCGACGATGAATTGTGTCTGTGTGCTTCTTTCCCTCCTGACAGACGTCCTCTCGCGGTTTCGGGGCCCTGGGGCCTTCACGGGCCGAGCAGCGAAAGGCCGCGGGACGGTGTGGAGTCGCGGTCTCCGGCTGTGGTTGTCGACGAGCGTGGATATGTTTTCGCCACGTCGGAGTCTCGTGGGCGTGCCTGGGGGGGGAGCCTCCCAGCCGCGCCCCCCGGGAGCCGCGCACCAGGAGGTAACGCTGCAGGGAGGTGGGGTCGAGGTCGCCGTGATGTTCCACGGAATCTACTGTTGCCGCGACGTCGGATCTCATGGGCCTGCCTGGGGGCGTCACGTAGCCTCGTGTTTTTCGAGGGGGGTGAGAGGGCCGGAACCGTGCCCGAAAATCTGCCCGAGACTGATACAAACTGGCGCCCTAAATTTTCCTACCGCGCCCGATTGTGCCCGAAATGTCTGCTTCGAAGCCACCACGATCTTCAACCTCGGCCACAACTTCTCCCACACCACGTTCTCGGTCACAATTTCGGGCACGCTTTCAAGCACAATGTTCTGTTTGGCCGCGCACCCCTTAGCCTGATACAGGGATCGGCGCTGTGAGGGTTGACCTCCGGCTTGGAGGCGACCCAAGGGCCCAAACTGGTTGGGACCCCAGAGAATGGCTCAAGAGGGGGGGGCGAAGAAGGCAGACAAAAGTCTGCCCGAACCCTGCTGGCCAGGACCAATGCGGGGCCACCTCAGACCCCCCGAGGACTTCAACACCCCACCGTGCCCCCTGGGAGCCGGGCCTCCTCCTCCTCCTCCTCCTCCTCCTCCTCCTCCTCCTCCTCCTCCAGCGAGGGGGCACTCTCGTTGGGCGTGGGCAGCTCCTCCGCCGGCGCCGCGCCCCCGGGCATCCAGCGGGGGTGCGTCGACCGCACGCGCGCGGCCTGGCCAAGGCGCTCTGACGACGACGTCGACGACGACCACCACCACGACGGCGCACACCATCACCACCGCCTCCCCCTCCCCCTCCTCCTCCTCCTCCTCCTCCTCTTCCTCCTCCTCCTCCTCCGCTTCCTCCTCCCTAGCCACCTCCTCCTCCTCATCCTCCTCCTGCTCCTCTTCCTCCTCCTCCTCCTCCTCCTCCTCCTCCTCCTCCTCTTCCTCCTCCTCCTCCGATTTCCGTCCTCCACACCACCTCGACGACAATCACCGCCGCCACCACGGCTCCGTGGAGCACGACGCCATGGCCACCCCGACGGCGGCAACCGTGTGGACGACGACGGTGGCGACCACCTCGGCGGCGACCGCCGCCACCACGACGCGGACCACGCCGACGGCAACGACGACGACGGTGCCGACCGCACCGACCACGCCGACAAGGTCGGCGGCTCCCCCTCGCCAGGGCCTCGGCAGCCGGCGGCCGCCGCCCGCCTGAGCCGGCGCCGCCCCGCCAGGCGACAGGCCGTGTAGGCGGCGGGCGGCGGGGGGGCCACAGGACGCAGGCGCGGGTCGGCCCCGAAACTGAGCCTTGGGCCAGGTAGCCGCAGCACGAGAAGGCGGGCGCTACGCGCTGGCGCCAGGGCTCCCGGCTCCTTGCCAACATCTCCCCGTGCGCATGCTCGCGTGCAGTACAGCCGGCCCGTATCAGAAGGATACGCGGGGTAAATATGAAAGGGCCCTGGAGGGCCACGCGACCGTTTTTCGAACGAGGCGGGCCAGCCAAAGTCGCCAAGGATGGACCAAAAGGGCAAGGATGCAAGGGTACCCTTTGGAACGTTGCCCATGTTTACTGTGCGGTATGACTGTAACCGGTATGGACTCGATCTACGTGTGCTTGCTCCCCCTACCTGGACTACCTTGAAACTGCAACGCCTCCCAGTGTCGTGGACATGATTTGACCATGCGCAAACCGTTACAAGTACAGTAGGAGCTCGAGCACAAGAAATCTCCCACCACTAGAAACCCAACCCCGAGACCCCAGGACGTCTATCGATTTCTGGTGTGGGAAAGCCACGCCTCTCACAGCAAAGCCATCGAAACCCAAGAAACCCAGGGCACCCTGGAGGCAAGCAGGGTGATTCTTGGCTTGGGCCCCCGCCGAATTTAAAAAACACAAGCACACAACACAAAAAATACGGATGGAGGAGGAGCGGGGCAAGCGCGGCGCTGCGGCACGGCGGCCAGCGCGGCGGGCGTGGTGGTCGTCGTGTCGTCGCTCTCGTCGTCGTCGCGCGCGCACTCCCTCGCTCATTCCCCGTTGCCTCTTCTCTTCATCGTCTCCGGCTTCTTCTTGTTCAGACCCCCGACGTCATGATTTGTCATAACGTCGATCCCCAAAACGGTCTCGAAAAACCTTCCGTCGTGTTTTGTCCATGACCCGAAAAGGGATGGGGATGGAGAAGGCGGAGGATAGAGGCCTCCCAGGTGGGCTCCGAGCAGATGGGGTCGGCGGATCGCACCGCATCGCCAATGCATCGCCAATGCATCACCGATGCATCGGCGATGCATCACCGATGCATCAGCGACGTCGGCGACGCATCGGCGCCGTCGGCGTGGGGAAACACGGTCTCCACATCGAGCCGCATCGTCGATGCATCGGCAACACGGCGCGGTCCTCCGCGCCCATTTGCTCGGACCCCATCTGGGAGGCCTGGAGTCGGCGGCGAGCGAGGGGGGGAAAGTGAGAAGGAGGAGGCCTTCTCAGCAGGCGGCGGGGCTTCTCAGAAGCCCTCTCGGGCCTTCTGAGAAGCCTCCTGTGTCTTCGGGGCAGGCGCAGAAAACTTCTCAGAAGGCCGGGGGACTCCCGAGCCTTCTGAGAAGGCCCGCCCCTCCTTACCCCCCCCCCATCGCTCGCCGCCGATAGAGAGGAGGAGACAGCGGAAGAAGCAGTCCCAGACATGCGACATCCAGATGTTTTCAGGACGGCGTCCCCAGAAGTCCAGACCCTTTCCCCGGGGCTGGCTTTTCCTCCTGAGTCGTTTTTCCCAACATGTTTCGTCGGTTTCTGGAGTTCTTCCCACCCGCGTCGCGCCCGCGTCTTTCTCATCACCTCCCGCCTCCCCCTTTCTCCTCCTCCTCCTCGTACTTCTTCCCTTCACCCACACGCAACACATGCACTGCACGTGCATCAGACACGCGTCTACATGCAACCGCACGCATGCACACACTCGCACACACACGCACACACACAACATACACCATACAACACTAGTGCACGCCTGGCGTTATCCGTGCCGGTCGTCCAGGGCATGGCAGGAATGGCACTTTCGCGACACCATAGGCGGGGTGCGCAGGAGGTGGTCCCTGAGCGCGGCCGCTATCCGTGCTGGTCGTCCAGGGCATTTCAAGAGTGGCTTTTTCTCGACACCATGGGGGGTGCGCAAGAGGTGGTCCCTGAGCGTGGCCGCTATCCGTGCAGGTCGTCAAGGGCGTAGCAGGCGTGGCACTTTCCCGACACCATAGGGGGTTCGCCCGGGGTGGTCCCTGAGCGCGGCCGCTATCCGTGTCGGTCGTCCATGGCGTAGCAGGCGTTGCACTTGGGGGGTGCGCACGGGGTGGAGCTTGGCCGCTATCCGTGCTGGTCGTCCAGGGCATGGCAGGGGTGGCACTTTCTCGACACCATGGGGGATGCGCACGGGGTGGTCCCTAATCGCGGCCGCTATCCGTGCCGGTCGTCCAAGGCGTAGCAGGCGTGGCACTTTCGACACCATGGGGGGTGCGCACGGGGTGGTCCCTCAGCGCGGCAGCTATCCGTGCCGGTCATCCAGGGTATAGCAGGAGTGGCAATTTCTCGATACCATAGGGGGTGCGCAGGAGGTGGTCCCTGAGCGCGGCCGCTATCCGTGCCCGTCGTCCAGGGAATGTCAGGGGTGGCACTTTCTCGACACCATAAAGGAGTGTGCACGAGGTGGTCCCTGAGCGCGGCCGCTATCCGTGCAGGTCGTCCAAGGTGTAGCAGGCGTGGCAGTTTACCGACACCATGGGGGGTGCGCACGGGGTTGTCCCTAAGCGCGGCCGCTATCCGTGCCGGTCGTCCAGGGCATGGCAGGGGTGGCACTTTCTCGACACCATAGGGGGTGCGCAGGAGGTGGTCCCTGAGCGCGGCCGCTATCCATGCCTGTCGTCCAGGGCATGGCAGGCATGGCACTGGGGGGGTGCGCACGGGGTGGTCCCTGAGCGCGGCTGCTAGCCGTGCCGGTCGTCCAGGGTATAGCAGGAGTGGCACTTTCTCGACACCATGGGGGGAGCGCGCGGGGTGGTCCCTGAGCGCGGCTGCTAGCCGTGCCGGTCGTCTAGGGCATTTCAGGAGTGGCACTTCCTCGACACCATGGGGGGTGCGCAGGAGGTGGTCCCTGAGCGCGGCCGCTGCCGGTCGTCCAGGGCATGGCAAGTGTGGCTTTTTCTCGACACCATACGGGGTGCGCAAGAAGTGGTCCCTGAGCGCGGCCGCTATCCGTGCCGGTCGTCCAGGGCGTAGCAGGCGTGGCATATTCTCGTAACCTTGGGGGGTCCGCAGGAGGTGGTCTCTGAGCGCGGCCGCTATCCGAGCGGGTCGTCCAGGGCGCAACAGGCGTGGCATTTTCTCGACACCATAGGGGGTGCGCAGGGAATGGCCACCAACATCGTTCTCACATGCTTCACTTCAGCTATCATCACTCAAGCCATAATAGAAGTATGGGGGTGTCCTCGGTAGCGTAATTGGAGGTCCCGGGGCCTGGCGAGAGCCCCCCGGGGCGCAAATACAAAAGTCGTGCCGCCCGGATCATTGAACAGCGCGATCATGTCTGGGGGCGCTCCGGCGGCCCGCCCCCCCCCCCCGCGGCCAGCCGCGCTGTCCTTGCTCAGGCCCGCCTCCCGGGCGCCCTCAAGCGCGCCCCGCACCTCTCGGCAAGAAGGCCCGGGGGGGGGGAGGGGGGGGGGGAAGGCGGGGAGCGCGCGGCGCCCGGGCCACCGCCACCGCGGGGGAGGTGCAGCGAGCATCAGGTCGGGCGTGCCCTCCTACAGGCGGATGTTGGCAGAAAACCCCAAAAATAGTCAAAATCCGCCGGCCCACTCGTGGGGCCAACAGGCTGTAGGACCAGGGTTTGCTGTTCCCTGCGCCAGCTCCAGTTTCCAGTTTCCACTGCTACAGCACTGCTGCTTACTGTTCCTTGTTGTAGACCGCGCGAGGGGGGAACCGACAACCAGCAAACCTAGCGTCTCCTGGGAGGGTTATCAGAATTTCTGGGGGGTCGAAATTGACACCCTTCACGCAGATTGGGGGGGTCAAGAACAACTGTTTGCACAGCATGCGCGAGCAATCTCGAAATGCAACACCGAATTTAACAATATCATCAGAATCTCAGTTTGTCTTGCCGAGTACTCATCGTCTTCGCGTGACGTCCCGACGCTGGTTCACGGCGGCGCCAAGGCCTCATGATTTCGCGATTGCATTGTACATTATCCGAGAGAGGGGGCCGGCGGCAGGGGGCGAAGCCCTTACGGATAAAAAAGAATACAAATACTTGAAAATTGTCCCACAACTTTTTTCGCTGATTATTCTTGAAAGCTCCTCCTGTAGAGGGACAGGCCCGACTGAAAGCGAGCAGGGAGCCCACGGACGTGCACGCCCGGCCACGTACACGAATACGGCCACCCAGTCCGCGAGGCCAGCCTCGTGCCAAGAACGCTCGCGCAGTGCGCACGCTCGGAGCCCAGCGTGGGTGCTGCACACGGGCGTCCGTCAGTCGCTCCTGCTCGAGGAGGGGGGGGTGGCCCTGGAGGCAGGAAAGGGGTATTGTATAAAGGGTTTGGGGTTAATTTCATGTCAAGGGGACTCTGGCGATGCTATGTATCGCAGATCGCATCGCCATCTCCACGATTAGCACCATACCTCTTTATGCCACACCCCTTTCCGATCTCCAGAGTGGCGAGGGGGTGGTGGTTATGGTGGTGATGAAGCGCGCCCCCCCCCATCCCCGGGGCGTTTTGGTCAGGGCATGACGCCCCAGAAGAAGAGGAAGGCTTGGCTGGGCAGCCACGTTTCTTGAAAGAACAGGCCTCCATGCTGAGCTTTCCTGCACTTCTGGGGGAGGAAGCTGTCTTCCCCATCCGGGTTCAAGACGTCCGCCTGCAAGGGTTCATGAAGACATGTTCGCCACAGGGGGCCACCAGGGTTAAATCAAGACGACCACCCTTGCTGGTCCCGAGGGGGGAGAAGGGAATATGATCCTTGGTGGACATCAAGAAAATAGATTAATCGGAGGAGGGGAGGTGGTAGACATCCATAATATAACACCGGTGCATCAACGATGTTGCAAGACGTTATCCCGTCTCGAGTCCACTCTCCACCAATCCGTACAAGCGTTCTTGTTCATTGCCCTCACCTTCCGACCTATGCAGCAAGGTGGGGTCTTAAGAGTCAAAGAAGTACCCAGATCCAACCCCTCTATGAAAAACAGCCGCCCTTCGTCTGGGTTGCTGTTGCGAAGTTTGAGATCTTCCCCTAACAGGGTTTGGGTTTCTAGATGTCCCAGCTCCGCAGGCTCAGAAGGCATGCCAACCGCGGCGAGAGCCTGTGACCAACGCTGTCGTCGCCCTCCCGCTGGTGGCAGCGACCTAGGGGAGCCACCTCGGGCCAGCACACCCGATGCTGCCGTTCCTCAGCTGGCAGGGGGAGGAGGAGGAGGAGGAGGAAGAGGAGGAGGATCAGGAGAAAAAGGAGGAGGAGAAGGAGGATAAGGAAAAGGAGGGAGAGGAGGAGGTGGACGAGGAAGAGAAAAAGGTGGAAAATGACGTCGAGGACGAGGACGAGGACGAGGATGAAGGGGAAGGGGGACGAGGACGAGAACGAGGAGGAGGAGTCGGAAGAGGAGAAAAAACGAAGAAGACTGACGACGAGGCAATGGTTCTCTCCTAGGGCACCTTCTGACTAAGATCTTGTCGCGAACCCGGCGGTTGCGACGAAGGACCCCACAACACCGAAACGATGGGGAAACAACGCCCCAACAAAGAAGCCCCAAAAGCCCGAAACGAAACAAAAAAAAAACAGCACCCGAAACAAAGAAGAAGAAAAAGAAGAAGAAGAAACAGAGAAAGAAGAAGACGAAACCCCAGGCTGTGCGAAGGAACCCCACAAAGCCGAAACGATGGAAACGGTCCGAATCTGTTTTGTCGTGTCCCTCCCTGGGATTCGGCGACTCCGACGGGCATGGCTTGCAACATGTGTGGTCTGTAACCGGCCCTCTGGAGGGGCACCCCGGGGGGGGGGGGCGGGGACCTCGCTAGAGCTCTCCACTGCGCCCCGAAAAGCCCGATGAACACAGCGTCGTACTCCCCAGGCCCCCGCGGCGCCGATCGCAAACCACACCCTTGAGCAAGGACCGACCGTCCCGACATTCCAATAGGCCTACCGCGACATGATCTCAGAACCCAGCAGTGCGCCAATAATAAAAACGAGGTTCTTGGAACGTGAACCCGACGTGCGAAGACAAGACAACCCCAACATGAAATGCTATCATAACCCTTCGCGCAGACCACGCCAAGTTCTTAGAACATCTCTGCGTGGGCCCACGGGCACGCCAGGACGCTTCGCCACGGCTTCGGGTAACGCATGGGGAACCTGAGCATTCTCTCAGGGTGGAGGGCTCGGAGTGAAATCCATATGGGCTTTTGCACCTCGAGAATCAATCCGCCTTGTGATTCGCCTTTTGCAGATTCGAGCCTCGAAAATCAATCGAAACGGCATTTCAGATTTCACCCTTTGCCCTCCACCCAAAGAAAATGCTCAGGTAACCCACGGGCCCCGAGGGCTGGCTGGGCACGGCGTGGGCCGGCCCAGCCGGAGAGGCCGTGCCGCGGGGGGGCCTCCTCGAGGTCGGGAGCCGGGCCGTCCAGGGAGGCGATCGCCTCGGCCGGGGCCGCGGGGGCGGGCGGGGCTCGGGGCCAGACGAGCGCGCCCCACTGCTCTTAGCTCGGTGATGTCCTCCTACAGGCGGATTGTGGAAGAAATCGTAAATAGTCATCAGGTGTTCAAAAATTATGAGAACCACGCAAAAGTCGCCACCTGAGTATTTTACAATACTATGTTTGGATACTCCTCCTGTAGGGGGACATGCCCGACTTCGCACTAATCGCAAAAGAGACTCTTCGCACATGGTTGTCTTCTCCTGGGCCACTTTCACCCTCCTCCCCCTCGACCGATCGCCGGGGCAATAATTGTCACGGGTGGTACGCTCAGGAGAGGATCGCCTGGCCGCCAGAGGCGATGCAGCCGACGCCCGCGGGGGACCTGGCAGACAGGCGCCCCGCGGCCGAGGGCGGCGGCGCAGCGCCGACGAATTCAGGCTCAGTGGAGCCGGGGGGGGGGGAGGGGGGGGGGCTGCAACACTGCAGAAGCCGCAGAGGGCGAGCGGTTTTTTCGAGTGAGCGCAACGGCCCACGAACGCGGGGCAGACCTGCCGCCGGGCGCGGGGGGGCCGCGGCGCCACGGTCAGGAGAGGGTCATCTTCTGGCCGCCGAAGGCGGTGCAGCCATGTCACGGCTCAATCCCCTGCGAAGTGACGAGGTTCTGGCGGGCGGTCACTTGCTGGACGGCCAGGCAGGAGATCCAGCGCGGAGGAAGGCAAGCAGCAGGCGACTACCAGCAGCGGCGAAGAAAAGGACTTGAGTCCTGGCCGTCTCGGAGAGCGACGCAAGCGCAGTGGAGGCGGCCGCTGCTTGGAAGTAACGCTCCGCGCTGGAAGCCTGGCGCAACCTTCCTCGCCAGAAGAAGCGCGGGGCGTCTTCTGTGGCGACGTAAGTCAGTGGCACCATAGCCTCGCAGGCAAGCGGGAGCAATGTTCAGGCCGGCGGCGGCTATGGCGAGCGGCGCGCCTAACGCCGCAAATAAATGATTCCACCGAGTACGGAATCCGCTAGCCCAGAAGGGGGCAAGCGGATCGGCGCGAGCTAGATGCCCAAAAACAACATCTAACAAGTGAACGGAGACCCTGTCGGAACACCTCGCGTGCTGGGTCGGGTACGACCTTCGGGTCTTAGGCGCAAGGACGGCCAGGAAGGCATCGCCTGAGGCCTCAAAGCGATCCAAAGGCGAGGAAATATCACGGCGCCAAGCCTTCGTGAGTTCACCTGGTCGAAAGAACATGGTGAAGTCCAACAGTAACAAAGCAGCCATGACAGGCCACTGCCAGGCAAGTCAGAGAACGACCATTGCGCGCGGGAGGGCGCGAGGCAATGGGGGGCGGAGCTTGGGGGGCTCCAGTGTCTTTCGCTGCTTGGCTACGCCCCAGGCTTTGTGGGAAAAGCCTCCCAGCGGGGGTGTGCCGACTGAGCCCCTGGGAGGGCGCGCGCGAGGATGCAGCGAGGGAAGCCAGCATCGCGAAGCCAAACCCCGAAGGTGGCCAACGCTCGCGCCAGCAGCTGGAGGAAGACCCTAGCAACGATGGCTTTCTGATATCTACTCGCTTTTGCCAGAACGCGCGCTTTAACTGATGTGGCGACCTCCTCCCACTCTCCTTCCATCCTTCCTCTTCCCTCCTGTTCAGCCCTCCCACGCAATGTAGCGCACGCAACTATTTTTATCTGCCAATGCGCCGTCCGAGCGCCACGCTTGACTGAGAGATTACTACCAAGGAGTCGCATGTTCAACAAATGTCCCTTGCTCGGTGAATCGCTCGTTCTGAGCGGCCCTCCTCTGAGCAACCCTGCGCCAGTGAGCCATCAGAGCGTCCGAAAAAAAACAGAGCACATGGACTACAATTTCGATGCGAAGGGTCAAACGAAGATCAACGTGTGCGACCTTAGCAGGTGCAGCTCATGAAAGGCCAACGGCCACACAGAACGTCAAAAAAACTTACCAATACTTGCCAATGAGATGGTGCGCCGACCGGCCCGTCTCTACAAGCTAGTCGGCTATCTATTGCACTGTGTTTATGCTCGCGGCCCGCTTGTCATACGACGTTTTCTGATTTGCTACACCGTCGCAAGATGCTCCTTCGTGCTTTACCTTGCCCGCGTGCGCGCAAAACCCATGCCTAAACCAATTCGAAAACCAAGCGCGCAGAAACATTCTCGCATCATGCGCAACTTACGCCACACACAGTATGTCCGTTCTGCCGAACATGAATGGAGTCGGCAATTGGGATAACGCCACAACATGTAGACAACTGCCAAGGTGTGTAAAGTTGGGGTGGTTATATTTGCTGTGCCAGTTTGGGTTCTGAAACGAATCATCCACGCAGACTGTGCCATAACTCCTGCGGGGCGGCGTAGACACCTACTTCCATGCTGCCAAGACTTGAAGGGCGCTGAGCACATGATGGTGAACCGGCGCCGCACAACGCACGCAAGAAGATGCACTCGGACACCGGCAATCGGCGGCCTCGCGGATGTGCTGCAGCTTCTGCCTTCGCCCGTATCCAACTCCTCCTCCTCCTCCTCCGCCTCCTCCTCCTCCTCCTCCTACTCATCCTGTCGCCAAATCGTTCATCCACACATCTTGACGTGAAGCACCAAACCCAACACACTATGGATTCCGGCGCCGTAGCTGTCTGGCGCATCGGTGAAGAGTCGGGGCGGCGAATTCTGCAGGAGGAGTGCTGCCAAATGGTTCTCAGGGGGAACAAATCCTGGATCTCCAGACGTGCGCTGGCGGCCTGGGGACCCGAGACGGGCCGCCTGGAAGACGACAGCGGGAAAGAAGACTCAGGAGCCCATGCCCCCTTTCCCTCAGGACCGCTTCTCTCCACGGCGACGAATCGTGCACGAGGAGTGCGGAGCGCACCGGGGCAGGCCAGGACGCCACTCCAGAAAATTATATGTTTTTCCAAGTCAGGGCTCCGGCATTTGGCCGAAGGGTGGGGGAGGGGGAGGAGGAGGAGGTGGAGGAGGAGGAGGAGGAGGAGGAGGAGGAGATGATGATGAGGAGGAGGAGGAGGAGGGGGGGGCTCTGGGTCTGGGCTGGTGCTGAGTCAAGCCGCTTCTGGGGGAGCGGGGGGGGGGAGGGCGGGGGCCCGCGCCCACCAGCGAAACAATGCATATAAAAAAGCGGCCATCCTCGTCCTCCTCCTCCTCCTCCCTCCTCCCTCCTCCTCCTCCTCCTCCTCCTCCTCCTCCTCCTCCTCCTCCTCCTCCTCCCACTCCTTCTCCTCCTCCTCCTCCTCCTCCTCCTCTTCCTCCCCTCCTCCTCCATCATGTTGATGTTTCGCGTTCGCTGCCCACGCCTGCCGCCGACCAGCCCGCAGGCTCCTGCCGGCCAGGAGCGCCCGCGGAGGGCGATACCGCCCGCGGCCCGGCGAAGAGGAGCCTCCGACGGCAACAGCACAAGGAGGCGTTATGCTGCATTATCGAGGGGCCTTGTTCCTTGTTGATGAACCGAAGAAATGACCCAAACCCTTTGGGAGGGGGCCGAAGGTAGGAGGGCCAGACACATGAGGGATAGGGGGTCTTTGCTGCAGATGTACCGAACCAATCCGCCCAGAATCATGATCCCTAATGCGAAGACGGGGACCTCAGTGAGGCCACATCTTCATAATGTTTTTCGGGTTAAGTGCTCTCTTGTGCTCGATGACTTGACTGTAATTACCGTCACGGCCCTAGTCCGCGTCGAATCCGTGTCGAATCCGCGCCAGCCGCCTCATCGGGTCCGTGTCAAATCCGTGCCGAATCCGCGTCGGGTCCACGCCAAATACGAGCCCGCGTCGAGCCCGCGTCGGGCACAAAAAAAGACACCATTTTGGGGACGGGCGAGGTCCCCCGAAGATGCAAGGTCATCCCTCCCACCAGTCTTGGCCAGACAGCCGCTCACCTCCCACGGCCCGTGCTGCACCATCGACCGAACAGGGGCCCCCATTCGCCGAGCATCGAATATCCCTGTGGCGATACCCAAACGAAGAGCGTTCCAAGGTAAAGCGCCCAGCGCTCCAAGGGCCCCTCCGAAGCCAAGGCCGTTCCTAAAGCTCTTGCAGGTTGTGGCTCCCGCTACCGCCCGCTGATCCAAGAAAATGTTAGTTTGTGGGTCAGAAGTTGGAAGTATAATGAGATACTTCGACGCAATACAGAGAAATATTACAGAAAAGACGCCACCGATCCATCATAAATGAAAAAAAACACATGTTGGATGTACGGTCTGCATGTTTTCTTGTTGAGTGTTTTCGCACTTGTTTTTTCTTATCACCAACCGTGCAATGCGAATTCCAACTCCTCCTCGCGGACCTGGGCTTTCCATCCTCCCGCCCCGCCCGCCTCTCAGCTACACACTCTGCCGTCCTCTCCCCTTCCCCGATCCCTTTGACCCCACCCCCTCCCTCCCACCCCTCATATCGTCTGACCTCCCTCCTCCCGCTTTACATGTCAGTCCCTCCCCTTCTCTCCCTCATCCCTCCGCTCTACCCTTCTGCCCCTTGACCCTCCTCTCCCCTGCCATTCCGGCCCTCCCCCGTCCACGACTACCCAATCGGAAAACTCTGCTCTCCCATTTCCCTCGAAGACGTGTCGAGAGTTGCGCGCCTCCCTCCGCGCATTGCGTTTTGAAACCTGGATGGTGCCACGCTCCTTTTTCTAGTGCGCCATTCCCCATCTGAACGCTCTCGGCTCTTACAACATGGTGCTCCCGCTGCAACGCTGGCCTTCTCCAACGTCGTTCCACCCGGCTCGGCGCGTTGCTCCTGCCGTTCAGAACGGCGATCTAGCCCCAGCGCGAACTACATTCCTGGATCTGGATGATGCCTCGTCGATGTCGCCCCCTGCATTCCTCCTCCCCAGCCTTCCCCTGGTCGTCCTGCTCCTCCCGCTCTTCCTTCTGAAATTAGTATCGTCCTCTTCCTTCTTCATGCTTCTCCTGTTCCGCCTGCTCATCCGCCAACACCTTTCAAACTACGCTTACACAGCTCCCCTTTTTGAGATTGAATGGTGGCCTGTTGGGCGTCACAGGTCCGGTATATCACCTGGAATGGGATCAACGAACAGCGCGATGTGCAGGCATGCGAGGGAAGGGTGGGATGTCAGATGTGCCGCGAGTGAGTGGGCCTGACTTCCACCCCTCCTCTGGGGCGAGTCCTGGCCAGAATTTCACAGCGGATCCAGCCGCCGCGACATCAGGTAGAGGGTCACATGCGCACCCTACCCCTACTGCCCACGATTTCTGAGGGGGAGGGTGGGGTTCACCTCGTTCGGGAGCTCCCCAGCGCACTGAACCCCAGCCTCCCCCCCAGAAATCGTGGGGGGGTGGGGTAGGGTTCGCATGTGGCCCTCCTGACAGGCCTCCCTGAAGCCCACAGAGAGCGAGACCGACTCCCTCGGGCACAGAAGTGGGCGAACCCGGCCCATCCCCGCCCCCGCCGCCGTCACGCCCCACTTCCCACCCGCCCACCCCTCTTCGCTGCCTCCCTCGCCCCCCGGAGGCGGAGGGAGGAGGTGGGAGAACGAGGAGGAGGGAGGAAGCGGGAAGAGGAGGAGAGAGGAGGAGGGGGGAGGAGGGAGGAGAACCTGTGCAAACCCAGGACTCATCAACGAGGCTGGAACACAACCTCCCTCCAAACTTTATCTTTCTAGACCCCTGGGATTCACTCCCACGGGGGGAAGTGCCCCGCTGGGAGACAACAGCTTGAACATCCGGAGGCGTGCCTAAACACCATTCTCGGGACTCCAACGTCGCGAATCAACCTGTCGTGACGATCCTGAATCACGCCAGAACGCCGTTCCTGGGACTTAAACACCACGAACCACGAGTACCTGTGCGCCCTGACAATCCCGAATCAATACCAAACATTATCTCTGGTACGTTGACCGTGGGAACCAATGAGACTCTTGCAAATAGTTGAGACGAATGTGCGCGGCGCTATGACGAGAACCAAAAATTGAAAACGGCCCGCCGTCAACCAGTAAAGCTCTTGCAAATGTTTAACGACGAATGTGCGAAATAATGCGAAAACCGTATTTTGAAAACGGTTGCCCCCAATCCGCGAACCTCTTGTATGCTTTAAGATTATGCGCGGCGCTATGGCGAGAACCACATGTTGAAAACGGCCTGCACTCAATCAGAGAAACAGTTGCAGGGTTTTACACGAATGTGCGCAGCGCTACGGTGGGAACCACAGTTTGGAAGCTGCCAGCCCTCCATTTGTGAAACTGACGCCATGTTCAAAAATTCAGGATCATAAATGGAAGAGAAGTCTCAGACGATAGGCCTGGCCCGCCCCCAACTGGCCTCGGGGTGAGACAAGAGGATGCAGGAGGAGGGGGAGAAGGGAAAAAGGGTGCGCCGAGGAGTGAGGAGGAGGGGGGAAGAGGAGGAAAGAGGAAGAGGATGAGAGAGGAGGGAAGAGAAGGAGAAAGGAGGAGGGAGGAGGAGGGATGAGGAGGAGGGAGGAAAAGGGAGGAGGAAGAGGAGGATCCCCTCAACGCTCCAGGACGAGAGGAGGAGGAGGAGGACGAGGAGGAGGAGGAGGAGGAGGAAAAGGGAGGAGGATGAGGAGGAGAACGAGGAAGAAGGAGGAGGAGAAGAGGAGGGAGGAGGGAAGAGGGAGGAGGGAGGGCGGGGGAGGCAGGAGGAGGAGGGAGAAGGAGGGAGGAGGGAGGAGGGAGGAGGAGGAGGAGGAGGACGACCCCCCCCCCCCTCCCGGGCACCCCGCACAGACTCCCCCGCAAAGGAAGCCCTCCACGGGCCGAGAGGCCAGCGCTCCTGCCGCTCCTGCGCGGGGGGGGGGGGGGAGAGGACGACGGGGGGCGGGGGAGGCGAAGAGGGGGAGGGGGGAAAGGACGACGGGGTGGGGGGGCGGGGAGGAAGGGGAGGCGAAGAGGGGGAGGAGGGGGAGGGGAAACAGGGGCAGTGGGTTCGGGGCATCGGCGCCTCCACACTTTGGGGTGAGCCTGCGCGCGACCAACATGTGCGGGCACGCGGGCCAAACATCAGCCTGCTCGAGGTCTACTGTCCACCCCCCCCAAAGCGGGCAGCCTGGCCAGATGAGTCAAGGGAGTGAACTTGAACCCCCTGCACGCATCTTCTTCTTATTAATACTTTTCGTAGTATTCTTCTTCCTCCTATTACTAGGTTTTCTTATTATTATTATTATTCTGCGGGTCCCGAGCTTGGATCTGGACTTGCCCCCGCTGGTGCCACCGGGGGAAAGAGGGGGAGGAGGGGGAGGGTGGGGAAAGGCGAAGTGAGGGAGGGAGGGGAGGGGGAGGATGGGGGAAGGGAAGAGGCGGAGGAGAAGGAGGAGGAGGGGGAGGGAGGGCTACTTCTTCTCTTCGCCGCACACCCTCCGACGGTAGCTCACCGCCGTGCGCAGCTCCCGAACCATGCCACGGCCAACGTCCGCCGCCACGCCGCGGCCTACGCGCATTCATCGCAAGCTCAACGAAGGGTTGCTGCAACTCGGCGGGGTGCCCGTGGGCAGCGGAGGACAAACGAGGTGAGGCTGGCCAGAGAGCAGCAGCACGTGCAAGGCCTGGAGGTTGACACCAACACCAATATCGGCGGTGTGCCTCCACCGAGGGAAGGTGCTCTCGATCTCGGTGATGGTGGTATGTTTTGGCATCCTAGGTGGCCGAAATAGTACCACCAACACCGAATTCAGGGATCTTTCCCACGTTGGGGCATACCCGTGTGCTTGTGTTGGTGCACATCTCCAAGCCTCCAAGCATATCACCTTTCCCCTCGGGGCCACGAAGGCCCGCATGGGAGTGCGGCAGCAGGGATGCCTGACTCGAGTGCTACACGTGCCACGAACCACGCAACGCTCGCGCAGCGCGCAGGAAGCATCGCACGCGGCACCAGCGACGGAGGCCGACAGCACGTAGCCAGGACCAACCAAGCGCAGGCAGCTTGGGAGGACCCGAAAACCAGAAGGACGAGACGCAGGCGGCCTGGAGGAGGAGGAGGAGGAGGAGGAGGAGGAGGAGGAGGAGGAGGAGGAGGAGGAGGAGGAGGGGCAGCGGGGGGAGGAAGAGGAGGAGGTTTTAGGAGCAGCCCTGTTCACCGCCGAGAGAAAAGGAGGCTCAAAACTAAGGACTTCCTGAGGTTACTTCGTCTGGATGTTTGATCCAGGTCGTTGTGCTCTGGGCTGCTTCTGTTGGTAACTGCCTATTTGCTGGTTCGTTGAATCATCGTTCTTCGATCCGCGGGCTGACGACTTGCGTTCCCCGATGCTGACTAGGCTCGTTCATCGTTCATGGTTCGTCTGGACCGCTGTTCGCTCGGTTCACGCTGTGGCTTTACGCGTTTCTCTCCGAGGCTCGTTCGGCTCTCTCCAGGCTCTCTCCACAATCCGAACTGGCACGTACACTGGTTGAGCTTTAGCTGCCCAGTCAACAATCAAGCGATAGTTGGGTCAAGTCCCATGGATCCCCAAACGATCGGCGGGGCGCCGGGGCATCTCTTCTGATCCTTCATTGAACTGCAAAAAGGTAGCCATAGAGGAGATTTGATCTCGAGATGGCACTGTGAGGCCTGGCGGTGATTTCGGATGCACGCGACGCGATGACGACCTTCGACGCCTGAGCTGCTCGCAACCTCACCGCAACTGCCGCAAAACTGCCACGACCCAGAACCAACTCGCCCGGCAACGCTGGCATGAGGGACTGAGGCCCTGACGGAAACAGGTCCTGGATCCCTCGGCTCTCCTTGGGACCAACTTGTTTTGTCCGACGTCATTGGAGCCATGAACAACATCTTCACATGTGAACTGTTGGTGCTGATTGACTACACGACGCGTGCAGACCGTTTGCCACCCCGCGCACCACTGACGCCTCGCGCGACACAGCACCTGGCCGGAAGCAGACATGTCTGATGGGCCCGTTTCCCACCATCACTACCACAGGTAGGAGAGGGAAGAGGAGGAGGAGAAGGAGGAGGTGGAAGAGGTAGAGGAGGAGGAGGAGGAGGAGGAGAAGAAGGACCTCCCCATCCTCCCTCCTCCCCCGTCGTACCTATGATAGTGGTGGTGGACAATTGGCCCATCACAGCAGGTTGTGCCAACACGCTGCTGCACTCGAGCGCACGCGCGCGCGCAGACACGTGGCGGATTCCAGAAACCTTGAACCCAAAACGGTTGTCACCTCTTGGGAGGTCGACTTGTGTCGGTGGTTTAAAGGTGGGGTCCTAAGGACGGGGTGCCCCAAAGAACGCAAATCCCCCTTTGGACCCATTCCTAAATCCTTAGGACCCCATCCCTCAAGACCCCATGTTTGAACCACCGACGTTTGCTTCCGCTGCTTGCCGCTGGCCTTCCGCCGGCGGAGGCGGCCTCGTTCTGCTTCCGCGGCCTTCTGCCGCCCTTCCGCCGTCGTCAGAGAAAAACGGCATACACATACACTTGTGGCGCTCCGCGCGGATTTCTTGGATCTGCGCTGGGCCCCCTTCCCTGGCGCGCGGAGCGCGCCAAGGGCGGCGCCAGAGGCGCCCCGGCGGCCCGGCGCGGATCCGGGAAATCTGCGCGGAGAGCCCAAAGTTCATGTCTATGCAATTGTCTCTCCTTCGACTCCGTCGAGGAAGAGGTGGCAACGCCTTCGATCCTCGAAGGCGAGACCCTTTTCAGAGCGCCCCCCGTGTGCAGACAAGACGCGGGGGCTGCGGGGGCGACGGTGCGGGGCGAGAGCCGCTTTTTGTTGCGCGGCCCCCGGGGTCCGGGGAAGAATCCAGCTCGGTGGCAACTCATGGGGAACCTCCCGTACCATCTTGTCGGCTCTTGCAAAGCGACGCACGTCGACGCTACATCGACGCTCTAAATCGACGCTCCAAATCGACGCGAAATCGGCGCTCTCTCATCGACTCCCAGACGCTCGTCGACGCAAGGCGACGCGGAAGACAGGATTTGCGAGGGCACGCCACGCCAGAGGACGAGAAACCTCCAGTGGGGCTCGGGAGAAGCGATCGCTCGGGCAGGGTGAAGCTAATGGCGGGAAGTGCAGAGCAGCATAGCGTAGAGCAGTGGGTGGGCGACTGCACCCTGGCCCAACATGAGAAGAAGAAACGCCTCCAGGGGGCGCCGGCCTTCGGCGGCAACCAGGAAGCCTCCCTCACCATCTTGTTTTGGCTCTTGCGGGTCGACGCTCGTCGGCGGCGACTGACGCGAATCGGCACGAATCGACGCTGAAGCGTCGCTGATCGACGCGATGCCGGTGCTTTCTGCTGGACGCTGGAGCACGCTGAGGCACTCCAGACACGGACTTGCACGAGGGCGCGCAGGGAGGAGGGAGGAGGAGGAGGAGGAGGAGGAGGAGGAGGAGGAGGAGGACGAGAAGGAGGAGGAGGACGAGAAGGAGGAGGAGGGAGGAGGAGGAGGAGGAGGAGGAGGAGGAGGAGGAGGAGGAGGAGGAGGAGGAAGGCCCCCATGATCTGCTACCGAACTGGGGAGCGCCGCCTCCGGCTGGGCTCGAGCAGCAGGTCGGCTACAGCAGTGCTTTACTCCAAGAGTGGTTGTCTCCGTCGCATCGGCGACAATACGTAGAATGCTCAGTAGATCTACGGAACATTATACATTTGTTTGTTGGCTGCCGACTCGACGTACAAATCAAGTCTGGGGTAAGCCAATTCGTAGTCGATCTCCTGCTCGATTCGAGGAAATACTTTTCTGGGAAAATCCAGACCCGAGTCAGTCAGGCTTTGTAAAAGCAAGATCCTGCAGGATCCTGCACGCAGACCCAGGCCAAAGCACCCCTGACCCTGCAGGATCCTGCACGATCTGGCGCTCTGACTGACCCCCGTTTGCATTGACCCCCATCTATTGAGCCCCGATATGTCCATGCCTCATGTGGACCACAAACAAACAAACGACACCACCCCACCTGCGACCCCACAGGGCTTAGCGCGTATACCCAGGAGTCTGGCGTGGGCTTATGTGTGGTATACGCTACGGCCCCCGATGCGCCGTAGCGCAACATGGAGGGCCGCAGGTTGGGTTAGAACAAAAAATGTATAAACATAAACTTTTGGCGCTCCGTATGGATTTCTTGGATCCGCGCTGCCCCCCCCCACCCCCCCCTCTCTGGCGCGCGGAGCGCACCAGGGGCGGCGCCCGAGGCGCCGCGCGGGGGGGGCCCAGACGCGGATCCAAGAACTCCGCGCGGACCGCCAACAATTTATGCTTATGCCGTTGTTTGTTCTCCGAATTTGGTCGTGGGGTGGTGCCGCTTGTCGGGAAACCCCCAAAAGGTACCGATACCGCTGACTACTTCCCAGACCTCTTTTTTGGGGTGCGTTCTGACCAGGACTTCGAGGCGAATCCAGCGGTGGCGACGAGGGCCTCCCATAGGATGCCGAAACAAAAGACAAAGGGCGAAGGATAGCGGTGACGGTATCGTTCCCTCCTCTGAGTTTGCTTTTTGGTCGATCCCATGCGGGCAATATTTATATCCATATCCAGGGCGTCTTGGACCTTCGTGGGAGGGGCGCCGCAAAGCCGAGGCGCACTGGATATGAATTAACTTCAAGCCACTGGTCGGGGCCAGAGTTTGATCCATATCAAGTGCGCCTCGGCTTTCTTAGGGGGGCCAAAAGGTATCAATACCGCTACTCCCCAGACCTCTCCCAGGGGTGCGTTCTGACCAGGACTTCGAGGCGAATCCAGCGGTAGCGACGAAGGACCCCCAGGAAGCCCACAAGGGGAAACGAGGAAATGCTAGAGATATGAGTACCTCATGTTCAACCTCTGACTGGTCAGTGCGCCTCGGCTTTCTGTGGAAGGGAGCCCGAAACTCCAAGCTGCAGTGACAGGCGAGCCCAGAATCGAATCGACAAGTCGGATCGGCGATCGAAATGAATCGAATCGGAGGAAATCGGCAGCCGAGTCGGGAAAATTCGGATCGGCAGACATCCGCAGGCTAGTAGGCATTTATTGCGAAATCGGATCCCAAATCGGAACAGAATCCGAAATCGAATCGAATCGGAATCCATCGAACTCGAATCGAATCGAATCGTAGGCATCGAAATGAGCCCTGCATGGATATGGATACTCATTTTGCCCACACGACCCACGCCGATGAAGCGCCGGCCGCTCCTCTAGCACGCGGCAGCGCACCACGGGCTCCCCGCTCTCGGGCTCGCGGGCCGGCAGCCAGCCGCCTGAGCGGCCGTCCAAGGTAATGGGCCGACTCTTCACCACCACTGCCATAGGTCGGACGGGGGGAGAAGGGAGGATGCGGATGTCCTCCTCCTTCTCCTCCACTAAAGAGACGAGAAGAAGAAGGAAGCGGAGGTGGAAAACGAAGCGCACGGACGAGCATGAGGATGGGCCCATTGCGGTCCAATAGCAGAACAAGCTGATTTCACCATCGCCGCTCAAGGCTCCCATGAAAGAAGATCGAACGGAACCCTGGTAGGCACCTCCTGGGAAATCTTCGTGGGAAAGTTGTGAGGAAACTCCTGGAGGTCTCGCGCGGCAATTTGAGACCCAGTCTGCGTCGGATCCACGTCGGATTCACGTCGGGTCTGCATCGGATTCACGTCGGATTTACGTCGGACTCACGTCGGAACATCGCCGCGCGGAAATCGTCCCATCTCTGAGGGGCTGGACGTGTGGACCAGATTATAAAACTATTGCGCACCACGCGAGGGCTACAGTATTCCTCCGAGGGAACGAGTAAGAATGAATCCTGGGGGGAGGAGCAGTGAAGCCTTGCCTCCCCACCCCCCCTCAGAGGAAATGAGAACGCTTCTGGAAAGGGTCCAGAACGGAAGCGATATGCCTCGCAGAGGCCCGCTAATCGAGGTGTTTTAGGCTGCCCCCCAAGAAAGGGCAGGCGGTGCAGGATGAGCAGGAGAAGGGAAAGCGGAGGCAGGGGAGTAGTAAGGACCCATCTCTCCTGTCATTGCACCATACATGTGTACACGTAGGTGTAAGTATAGTGGCACTGCACATGATTCCAGATCCAGTATTACAACCTCAACCTGGATAACATATGTGGAAATACTGAGATGTACAAGCGTGCGTTTGTGTGAGCGCACATGAAATCAAGTATGGATCCCAGCGGAACCGCAAGCAGAAGAACACATCCTCAGCGGCATTACTGGGTATTGCTTGGCATTGCTTGGCAGCGCTTTGCGTTGCTTGGCATTGTTTTGCTGTGCATTGCTTGGCGTTGCTTGGCATTGCTTGACATTGCGCGGCATTGCTTAGCGTTGCTTGACTTTGCTTGACATTGCTTGGCATTGCTTGGCATTGATTGGCTGTGCTTTGCCTGGCAGTCATTTTCTTGGCGTTGTCTCGCGTTGCCTTGCAGTTCTCGGCACTGCTTGGCATTTCCTGGCGTTGCTTTGAGTTGCATAGTGTTTCTTGGCAACGCTTGGGATTGCTTAGCATTGCTTGACATTGCTTGCCACCGCTTAGCATTGCCTGGCATTGATAGCCATCGCTTGGCATTGCTTGACAAACCAGGGAACACCTTGTTTCAAGACCGGCAAGACCCAGAACCCAGCCCAGGAAACCCAAGAACAGCCTGCCACTTCGGAACGGTACGGCATCAGGACGGAAGGAACCTGGAGAACCCGAGGAACGCCACAGTAAAAACGCAAGACTCGAGGAACCCAGAGGCATGTCACTGCAGGGAAGCAAAACCAGAGACCCCCGCAACACACCGCGGTACGGAACAAACACCCCGGGGACCCGGCCAGCGCAGGCCAACGGCTGTCCAAGAACAAAAACACACCCCTCGGGCAAAGCTACTTGGGGAAGATTACATGGACACAAAGTCACCTCACTGGCGCTGACCAACGCTCACGAGTTATTCATAACTCAGCCATAAGACCGTTAGAAGCTATTGCAGCACGCTGTGCCATCATCCGTATGTCTTCGATCGTTTATTCCGTCATCTCATGTTTCACTGTACCCTCGATGCAAATTGAGCACTGGTGTGGCATCCAGAGCCACTGATGCGATGCTGTTCTATTCGCAAAACGCGTAGCGGAGGCAGGGGTATACCAGGGCCGATGCTGAATCCAACCTCCCAGGCGCTGCAGCCCAACAGGTCCCACCCCTTTGGTGCCTGCTCCCGTGCCCAAAAAGTTCGACAGGCGAGGGGCGTCCCTCCGAAGCTGCAGAACGCCCCCGCCGCTCGATGCACGGGTGGAGGGAGGAGAGGAGCCAGAGCCCGAGCCCAGTTGCAGGGGGGGTGTGCGGGCCCGTGCCAGGGTTACGCCACGAAAGTATAGGCATAGACGCCCTCCGACGAATTTTGCATGTGCCTCCCTGTGTAGAAGGTCGCTGGCTCTCCCTGGTGATCTGGACACCGCCACCCTCACCCTGGGGCATAGGAGCAACCCAGTGGAGGGCGTCTGTGTGTACTTTTGCTGTGGCGGAAGGGTGCGCACGTGAGCAGCGTCTGCTGGACGGATGTGCGCATGTTTAGCCAGCGGCCGCAAGCGGACGGGCGGCCGGGGCAACTGAGGCAGGGGCGGCGGGGCGCGCCGGGCGGGGCGCCCCGCCGCCGGGGCGTCGAGCGACGGCGGGGCGCGCCGGGGCAACTGAGGCAGGAGGGCAAAGGAGCGCGACGCGCGAGGCGGCCAGGGGGGGCCCGAGGCGTGGGGGGGCCACACTCAGAGCATGCAGGAAAGGATGGGTGTGAGCAGAGCTGCTTGCAAGTCGCGCGCGTTCTCGAGTTCTCCCCCCCCAGTGGTCCTTGGCACTCAGTCTGCCTCAGGCATGGGCTGCGAGATCATGCGCAGCTCACGAGGGATGGAACTCCGAAGTCTGCCGCTGCACTTGGTCAACGTGCTGGGATCACTACGAGGAGGGGTAGGGACACCGCGATTGGAGGAAGGTGTCTTCCTGTACATTCCCGCCGCTGTCTCGTGTCCTAGGTCCGAGACTAACTCTGAGACTCTTACTTTACATGTGTATATATATACATGTATCTATATGTGTCATATTGCCTAGGCGCCGGAAACTTCAGATATATGCACGAGCACACGCGCACACTCATCGGGCATGAGGTGTCTAGGGCTGCACAAACAATAGATGCAAGCTCGCTCGAACTGAGAGGCTGTCTGCACGATCCGATGCTGACATTGACACTGCACCAGTGCCAACATCCAAGCGTTCTGCGGAACTGCGCTGCGCTGGAAACAACAACTCCGATTCGTTCCCACCCTTCCCTCCATCGCAGCGCCCTGCCCGTGCAAAGACAAAGCATGCCAAAAGAACATTTGTGCTTGGGACACGCCTGCTGCACTCTGGCCCCGATGCAAAATAAATCTGCGTCTGCACTGCAAAAGCGAGACTGGCCAGTGGGGCGAGTAATGGTGACGACTCTGACCACCGCGGGCGCACCCTGCGTGGCGCGAGATGGGCAAGAAATCGAACGGCGATGCGCTCAGGCGGAGGGCCTTTTGTGGTCTCCTCTGGGTCGAGACGAAGCCAACCTCCCCTGCCGGCCCTGCACTTCAGCCCAGCTACAGGTTGAGAACTCGAGGAACCCTCCTCCCAATCTTCGTGGGTGCGGTTCTGCATTGGCTCGCCTCCGCTGCTCTCGACTCCGTCTGTATCTCCTACCATCTTGAGGCGCCCACTGATTCCTACACGTTCCAATCGCCTCATATGGTGGAGCGCCGCTGTATACTCGATGAACGGCGACATTCGACTGGTGGCAATGCCTAATGCGCGCGTGCGCTCAGAACAAACATGTAGACATGAGCGCACACTGGCGACAAGCCAGTTTAGAACGCAGCATGGGTCTTATCTGTGTTTGACCACCTCTGCTGGCAGGGGACGCGGCAACGTTTCATATTCAGCGTCCTGCATGAGTCAGCGTGTGTGCGCGCTCCCTCGATGACTTCGCAAGGATCTGTCGCACAGGCTGGAGACTGCTGCGCCTGAGCACCATCCCCACTTCTGACAAGGTCTGTCACTAATTTGGCAGTTTACTTTTCTATGTTTCATCTTCGATTCTCTCGCGACGCGATGACACCATCAGCCTTACCGTAGCAGACTACGCCAAGCATTTGCCTCAACAAACGTTGCCAACCGCGGAAATTGAAGTGGTCTCTGGCGACGTCCTTCCCCCCTCCCCTTGCCTCTGTCTGACTTGTTTTCGACCAGCGGTCGAATGTCGCGTCTGATACTGCCCAACACTAAACAAAACATGGCTTGGACCATAGTCCGTCAGCTTGCCTACACCGCGCTGAGGCACGTCAGAATGTTTGACTTGCGCCATATGTTGCGCCCTCGGCCGCCGATGCTTCAAACTTCCTCATGTGTTGCTCTTTCGGCCACCGAACATTGAAACGTCCTGCCATTGCTTGCGCCATGGGTTGCGCCCTCGCAGCCCGGAGCTAAATCGTCGTTTCGTGGGTTGCGGTATGAGTTGCGCCATGTGCTGCGCCCTCGACCTCCTACCCGTCCTGCTGTTGGTTGGGCCACGTGCTGTGCCCCAGCGCCCTGCGATGGAAACACTTGCAAACCAACGTGCGAGCTGACCGCGTGCACGCATGCGAGACTATGACAAGTGACAGGGATGAGGAGTGGACGAGGTGGGCATGCGATCAAAATGCAGCCCACATCAAAACTCAGCCATTTCGCATGCAGGAAAGCGTGGATGCTGGCAGCAATTCTTCGCCAGTTCTGCCCACAGATTAACAGGTGGACGAGGGGCGACGATGCCAGCGCGTGGCCCCCACGCAACGAGTATTCCTCCATGCTTGGGGTGATGCAGACAGGAACCACCATTGACGGGCACCCACCAGCGGGAAGATGTACCATAACAAGCCACACAAGTGTCCTGGCATTTGCAACGCCAGGCGGGGAGGATCAGGGTGGGAGGGCGAGAACCAGCGAAAGGGCGGGGACACAGGGCTCCAGAGGCCTGGAGCACAGCCGCGAGAGAGAACAACAACGATTCCGCAGGCTGAGGCACCAAACAGACAGATACCAAAGGCGGGCCTGTGCAACTTCGGGAACATCTGCCACCCAAGGCCAGACGAGGGGGGGGAGGCACTGTGGGAGGGGCCGCAAATGACCTGACTCTCCACATTCCGCGCGGTCCGCTCGGATAACGCGCTCCGTGAGGATGCCGGGTGAGGGCGGCGGAGGGAGGAAGGAATGACGGAGAGGTGGGGATGAGGGGAGGGGGGGAGACGGAAACGTACGAGGGAGGCGGCGAGGAGAAGGCGTGAAGGAGAGACGCGGTGGAGGGAGGGGGAAACCGAGGCAGCGGGGAGGAGGGAGGCGGACAGGAAGGAGAAGGATGTAGAACGTGGGACGCAAGACACCCAAGAGCAGGAGGGAGAGAGAGAGAGAGAGAGACAGCAAAGAGAACGGACAACGAAGGATAGGGGAACAGAAACGCATTAGAAACCTCGGACAGGAGAATACAGAGGGGGGGGCGACCTCGAAACAAATGATTTGAGGGAATCCCTTCTTGTTCAACTTAGCTCTGGAGGCCCCAAAAAGCACCCAAGATCGCCCCAAGAGGCCTCCATGAGTCCCCAATAGCTACGGTTAAGCCCTCGAGAGGTCAACACAAATATATGACAAACAGGCGTGAAGAAGAACCGAGAAGGAGGGACGAGGGAAACGGACGCAGCGGGGAGAAGGGAGTGGGAGAGGAACGAGGACGTAGAACGCTCTCAGGAAGCTTCGGGATCGCCATGAGTGCCTCAGGGCATCTGGGGAGAGGCTCTTTGTTCCCAACCATCCTGTGGTGTTGGGTCCTCGTTTTGAAGAGACGGTCCCCGCGTTCCTCTCCTCCTCCTCCTTCTTCCCCCGCCTTCTTGGGGCTCTCTTGGGCTGTCTTGGGGCCCTGTAGGAAGCCTCTTGGGCCATCTTGGGGCAATCTTGGAGGCCTCGCGGGCCGTCTTGGATGCCCTGAAAGCTCCAGAGGCGTATACTTTAGCAATATACGTTTTCCAAATGGAAGCGGGCCGTTTTTGCCTCTTGAAGCCCACTTGGGGGTCCTCTTGGGGGGCCTCTTGGGGTGTCTTGGGGGTCTCCTGGGCCGTCTTGAGGTCATCTTGGGCGTCTTGGAGCGATATTTCGGCAACCTCGGGACGCCAGGGAACAATTTGAAAGCCTGCCGCACGTACCCGGGAGGGCCAAGAGCCGTCCAAGGAAGGGGCCACAGGCGGGGTACTCAAATCAGGGCTCCTGCCCCCCTGGGCCCCTTTATATAAATACATACATACAAACATACATACATCCATACATACAAACATACACACATACATACGTACGTGCGTACGTACGTACGTGCGCGCGTAGTACTTATGTATACATGTGTCAATGTATGTATATGTGTATGTATGTATGTCTGTCTGTATGTATGTATGTGTGTATGTATGTACGTATGTATGTATGTGCGTATGGAGCAGTATGTGCATAGGTATGCGTATATGAATAAGCATGTGTACATGCATATATACATATATGTATATATGTATATGCATACATATATGTATATACATATATATATATATATGTACAGTTATAGGCGTAGGTCGGTGTCTAGATATAGTCACATACGTATGGATGTAGGTATGCATATACGTATGTATATATGTGTGGAGGAATGTGTGCATGCATGTATGCATGGATGTACGCATGCAGATACATCTGTATGCACGTACAGGTGGACAGCTATGCAGGTGCGCACACATGTGTACATACACACACATACATACAGACATACATACATTCATTCATACGCAACTACACACAACCATACACACACATATACAAGTACAAAGCTATTGTACACATAGGTATATACATGTATGTACGCTGATTTACACGCACATACATTACATACACACATGCATGCATACAACCATGTTTACATACATGCACACACGTACATACATACATGCGTGTACGCATGCATACATTCACTACACCCACGCATGCAAACATACACATACATACATACATACATACATACATACAGACAGACAGACATACATACATACATACATCAATACATGCATGCATACATACATACATACAGATAAAGCTATGAGGGTGATCCATCCCAAGTGAATGGGGCGGACTGTTCTTCTCGTGGCATTATTGGGGGGGCGTCTTGGGGGCGTCCTGGGGCGTCTGGGGGCTGTCGCGGTGTCATCTGGGGCCGTCGTGCAGCTCTCGTGCGGCGCTCTTTTCATACCGAACGACGAACTTCTTACGGCACGCTGGCTGGTTGCGCGTCGATTGTTGTCTGCCGAATGTACTCGGGACAGCTCTAATTGTCACATGGTCTGCGCGCAAAAACCTGAAAGCAATTCAAATGGCTTGGACCCGCGACGGCACCGATATTGACCGACGCACATGGGTGTGCTAAACGAAAACCACATGTTATACTAAAACAAGATTGGTTTCGCGACGGCTGATGCCAGCCTGATTGCTAAAAGCAGGGCAACTGCAAAGAGAGGGAGGGGCAAGAGAGCGATAAGGAATGAGAGAAATTGAGACGTCTATATATAAAGAGACGCAGAACATCGAACACCAAACAACTAGATATAACTGACATGCAATGCACCATCCGTGCACAAGCATTAGAAGCTGCAGCAAGCCGCATGATCATGCGAGTTCCCTACATCAACGCCCGATCGTGACCCATCCTAACAACACGAACAGCCAATGCTACCCCTCTTCCTTCTCCGTCTCTGCTCGATGCTGGTTCCTTCTCCCCCCCATAACCTCCTCATCACTCGAAGTGTGGTCGTATCGGTATCTAAGATCTGGCGCGGCTGCAACTGCATCCTAGGTGAGGGCTGTCGTTGCCCTGGTTGGGACTTGCGGCTGCATATTGCGCTCTGGACTAAACAGACCCAGCTGAACCAACAAGGTGTACGTGTCGCGCTGTCCGCCGTCGGTCGCAGCAGCGTCTAGAGCAACACGGGGCACGCAGGAAGAACAAACAGTCCGACATTTAGTTCGGACCGCGGATAGAGCGACTCCACACAGGCTTATTAGGAGACTCGCGAGCACAGAGGAGAGGGAAGACGGGGGGCGGGATGGAGCAGCACCGAGGAAGAAGAGAGGATGGAGGATGAATAAGGAAAGGCGAGGAGCGAGGGAGTACGGGGGAGCTAGGATACCTACTGTGGCTCTCATGTACTCCTGAAGCCATCTCCGACCACAGACAAGAGAAAGTCCAAACTATGCCTCTGAAGCGATTGGGATGTGAGCTTGTTCCCCCTTGCCACCTCGCCCCCACCACGTTCACCCTACTCCTCCCGCAAACGCTCTCCACAAGAGAAGCACTGCATGGCACAGCCGCTATGGGAGACAGGTGCTGCAGGGCTGGCGCCCCGTCCCGACTCCTCCCTGCCACCGAAGATCACGCGGAGAAGCGGTACAGGACGACACTGTCGCGGAGGGCGCAGTCCGTCACGATCGAGTCCGTCACTATCTGGCTGAACATGGCTTTCATGCACTTGCGCTGCATGCGGCGGCGCTGCGTGCGCGTGAACGGCCGGTGATCCTGCTCCCCCACCGAAATGCAGTCCGCCACCGAGCCCACAATGTGGACTAGCCGCGTGGGCCATGGAATCTCGTCCTCGCGCGGGAAGAGCTCCACTCTCATCGGCCCCCGCTGTCCATCGCCACCGACGCTCCTCACTGACAAACCGCGCGTGTCGAGGCGGAGGCACGCCTGTGTACGCTTCCCAAACGACATCGTCTGCTGACCTGCGCCGTCCGTACGCTCACGCGCTGCTAGTGCGTTCTGCCTACTCGAAATGACACGGAAACGGAACGCACCAAGCCGACTTGATCTAGAATGGCTTGAGCCAAAGCGGCTACGGATCCCTCGTGGGGCGCTTTTGAGGGCCTTGGAGGGCCAGTCGCAGGCTGTCTCGGGCGGTCTTGGCAGATTCTCGGGCGTTCCATCGGGAGCGGCCAAGAGGGGGGTGTCCAAGAGGGGGGGGATGCAAATCATGACCGGCGGCATGTGCGCGGCCCAGCGGGGGGGCCAGAGACGTAATGAAATAAGAAGAGGCGCCATGAAATCGGGGGAAATACCATGGCCCGCGCCATGAGATCCCCCCCCCCTAGTCACCACCCCTCTCTTTTCCGCCCCCGAGCTTTCCAGGACCTCCGGGGGCCGCCCGGGGAGGTCCCCGGGGAGACGGGGCACCGATCTGGGCGCCCGAGATGGGTAGGGAAAGGAGGGGTGCAATGCCCAGCAGCAGTCCCTGCTCATCTTGGACCGGACTCGCTGTCCACGCCGCCGCGGCCTGCGTCCACTCGAGGCAGAAGGCCGCCTGCCCAACGGGGGCCGCTGTTGGTTTGGGACAACATTTTTGGCTGGGCACGGTGCCCATTTTCTCCGTACCCATGTCGGGCGTCCAAAGCCGAAGTGCAAGGGAGGGGCCCGCCTGGGGCCACGGGGGCCCAGGAGCCTACAGTGCACTGCGCGTCTGGCACCGCCTGCCTCACATCACACAGAGGACAAAACATGACGAACGAACAACACATACCCATACCCATAGGAGGGTCGGAGGGAGGAGGACTGGCTATGGATAGGGGTGCAGGTTGTCGGACCCTGGGGGAGGCTCTCGTTCGAGCGGGGATCCCCATCCGACAACACGCGCCCATAGCCCACCTCGGTCGCCCCTATGGGTATGGGTGCGTGTTGCTCGTTCGCCAAAACATAGATTCCACCGCACAGCTCACAACGCGTCAGTCGCACCAGAATGAATGCACCGCAAAAGATTAGCTTACGCCACGTAGCTTGCATCACATCGCTTGCACAGCACATCTCACACCACATGGAGGGCACCGCGTACATGACACCAAGTAGCTTACACCTCCACAGTGAAATCGAACAACGCTTGAAGTCCACGCTGAAAACGCACATTCAAACGTCCAAACAATCCAGCCCTGAGGGGCTACTACAGGCAGGCCTTGCGGGCGGGACCATAAGCGCTCGCAAGAGCCAGGAGGTCCAGAGGCAACAAAGGGTGGGACCCGAGGGGGGGGCACAGTACAAAAACTGTCAGGATCCAGCACTCGTGACCAACTCCTTTCAAGTCGAGTGATTTCAGGAAGCATCTTCCAGCTCCAAGGGAAGGCCCTACTGGCGGGGACCCCATGCAACTGCAGTGAAGTCTAGCCCGCCTGGGCGGCCGCAGGAAAGGGACCACTGGAAGGCTGGAGCGCACGGAGGCACGCGAAGGGCGCCGTGCACGTACCCGCAATGCTGCAATGCACTGAACACCCGTCCCCACCATGAAAGGTCTGCGCGATGATGAGAACCTAGCGGCGCCGTGCACATGGGCCCGCAGGCAATGAGAAGGTGAGCGCGCACGAGCGGCACCACAGGGAAGATGCGGAGGGAGCAACGGCAGTAGCAGCAGAAGGAGAGAAGGAGGAGGACCGCACTTCTCAACACGCAGAGCGGAAGACATCACTCTGCAGAGCCTGAAAAGGGGGGTTCAACGGTCGGTATCGGTGCAGGCTGCACGGAGTGCCCGAAAAGCGGCGGAGGGGGATGCTGGACGAAAATGTGCTGCTGCACGCGAACGCGGACGCGTCGCTAAGCATGACAAAGGTACAATGCCAAATGAACCGACCCTCGCTTGCCGAGGGTGAATGATTGGTTGCTCCCCTCCACCGGGCCCTCTCCCCAGATGTCCAAACTCCAGGGAACTCATCAAGGCCCAACCCTGTCTCTCAGAGGCCGCCACACATGCTCACAAGACACTGGGAATCCTCTTCCCATTCCTCCACCTCCTGACAAACACTATCATCATCATCATCACCAGCATCATCACCATGGACCATCATCATCAGCAACATCATCACCACCATTACCATGACCAGGATCACGGTCATCATCGTTATCAGTATCATTATCATCATCACCATCGTCATGATCACCAATCTCAGCCTCAACATCACCAACAGCATCAGCATCAGAATCATCTCCGTCACCATCCCTCATCATCGTCCCTCATCCTCCGCATCCTGCTACACCCCTCCCCACCCGCTCCGACGGGGTGACTCCCGCTGGACCCATTGGTCTTACCTTTTGGGCCCCAGCTTGGCCAGAGGGCATCCCCCTGCATCGACTACACGTAGGAGTGACCCCTCGCCATCGCTCGGACGTCCATTCCCTGTGTTTTCTTGCGGTGTCGTGCGTGGTTTTTGCGCCAAATGATCAAGGATGCTCCTCGATGGTCCTCGCCGAAGGAAACAGGCACACGTCCGAGCGATGCCAGGGACCCTAGGCTAGAGTGACCTTTGGTGCGCGGCTTCAGGGGCGCCCGTACGGCCCAACGCAATCGATCAAGCCGGCATCACCGCGCCGCCCAAACGATCGGCAGGGCGCCGCTCGAAAATTTGCTTGTGCCAGCGGGCATCCGCGGAATTCCGCCGACTGAACGCGGGCGCCCCGAATGGCACTTCGAAGGCGCTGCGAAAGCAGACGCTGCCGCGGGCCACCGCGATGAGGTCTGGCACTGCCGGGCTGCATCGCGATGACGTCTGGCCAGGCCCGGCGTCATGGCCCAAACCGGCCCCATCGGAAAGCCTGGAAGATGTTTGAATATCTTCGGATTCGAAAAACAGATTCAGAGATATTCAAAGATATCCGAAGATATCCAAAAATATTCAAGCCAAGCGTTTTGGGATTTGGGCTGGGATTCGGGACTGGTCCTGGGCCGGAAAACGCGCCATCTGGTCGACCGGCTTCCCCTCGGGTAACACATGCAACCTGTAGGGTGCGACGCGTATGCGTTGCTGTCGATTTCATGGCGCACGGCGCCATGAATCCCGGTCCGATCAGCTTCCCCATTGCATAGTAGTCTCCCAGTCGCAAGGCAACTCTGACCGTCGGATCTCACGAGTTCTGGTCTGGTCTGGTCCACCCCGTCTCATCTTCCTCCTCCATTCCTCCTCCCCCTCCCTCTCCACCTCGATCCCTCCTCCTCATGCGTTCCAACGCCCTCGCCTCGTCTTTGAAAATCCAATGGGGGCACCCCGCTGGGTCATCATCATCATCATCATCATCATCATCATCATCATCATCATCATCATCAGCATCATCACCATCACCATCATCATCATCACCATCATCACAATCATCATCATTAACAACATCATCATCATCCTCGTCCTCATCCACATCCTCATCATCACCACCATCATAAGCATCATCATCAGCTTCGCCATCGTCATCATCATCGTTATTGCCATCATCCTCATCATCAGCATCAGCATCGGCATCATCATAACCAAGATCATCATCATAATCATCGTCATCATCATGATCATCAACATCACCATGATCATCATCATCAGTCTCGTCACCAGCAGTATCACTTCATTATCATCATCATCAGCAGCATCAACATCATCATGTCCATCATCATCGCGGTCGCCGTCAGCATTGTAGTCAGCACCATAATCAGCGTCATCAGCATCACCACCACCATCACAACCACCACCACCATCATCATGATCATCATGACCATCATTATCAGCAGCAGCTGTGTCGTTATCGTCATCGTCATCAGCACCATCATCGTTCGTCCTATGTTTGTTGATCGAAACACTAGGCCGTCATCATTAGTTGGCAAATACAAATCGTAGTAAGTGCTATTATGCTCACCATCGCCGTCACCATCAGCGTCACCATCAACATCACCACTACCATCACCATCATCGTCGTCAGCACAATTATCAGCATCAAGATCATAAGATTCATCGTCATCATAATCATCACCACCATCACCATCATCAGCACCGTCATGGTCATCATCATCGTCATCGTCATCATCATCATCACCATCGCCATCACCATCACAATCATCCCATCATCCCCATCATCCCCATCCCCATCATCATCACCAACATCACCATCCCCATCCTCTTCACCATCATCATCACCAGCATCACAATCACCATCAGTATCTACACCGTCATCATTATCGATATCACCATCATAATCATCACCATCACAACGTACACCATCTTCGCCATCAGCATCGTCATCATCGCTATCGTCATCATCGTACTTATCATCATGTTCAGCATCAGCGTCCGTCATTATCATTAGGAGCATCATCATCAGCAGCATCGGCATCATCATAATCAGCAGCATCAACATCAGCATCAGCATCAGCATCAGCATCAGCATCATCATCAGCATCAGCCTCAGCATCAGCATCATCATCATCATCATCATCATCATCATCATCATCATCATCATCATCATCATCATCTTCTTCTCTCCCTCCCTCCCTCCCTCTCTCCCTCCCTCCCTCCCCTCCCTCCTCCCTCCGCCCTTTCCTCCCCCGCTCCCTCCGCCGTTCCATCCCTCCCTCCCCCTGCGCAAGCGTGCGCCCATCCAGAAGCACACTGGCTGGGTGCAAGGGAGCGCCCCCCTCCATACCTCTCCTACTCCCGTGTAGACTTCAACGATCAACAGGGGGAGCGCTGACGCCAGCTCTCTCGCTATAGTGCAGCATACTTGAGCGTGACGTGCAGGCTCCCTATGCAGACTCGGTGTCGAGTCCACCTCTGCAGTTGCTGGCTATTGCAGGCTGCCGGTGAGCTTCAAGTGGTCATCCGCCACCGTGCCGCAAGGCACGAGTTGGCATGCCCTCAGGTCCGTCGTAGTCCCTCAGGATTGAAATATTGAGAAGCCAGGACCCCAAATTTCAAAATTGTCCAGGGTTCCTGGAGTGTTTCCCGCAGTTCCCTGGCGTTTCCCGCATGACTTTGCAGGACCAACGACTGCCCAAAAACGAGCCAAGAGGTCTCCGAGAGGCCTTTGATCTACAACCCAGGCGCGTTGGCGGGATGGGCCGAAGGCCAGTAGATCCGCCGCCCCCTGTGGTCTGGCCACAGGGATGTCCGGCGTGCTGAGCTTTAGGTGGTCGCTGGCTCTTGTTATGACTCCCCCTGGGGTTCGATTCATTGCGCTGGCCACTAGAAGCAGCACCAATTTGTCTGGATGGCTGCCATTCTCGCTCCTGCATGGCCTATGATGGCCTCCAAGATGCTTTCAAGACGGCCAAGATGGCCCCAAGCGAGCCCAAGATGGCCCCAAAGTGTATCCAAAACGACTCAACACTGCCCAAGAAGCGACAAAGAGGCCCCTAAGACAGCCCAAGAGGCCTCCAAGAGGTCCTCCGGGAAGGTCCGCAGAGGCCATAAGGGTTTGGTATTTGATTCAAGACGGCCTCCCGACGTCTCAAGAGGCTCCCAAGGTTGCCCCAAGATCGCCCAATAGGCCTCATTCGGCCTCCAGGATGGCCCCAAGACGACCCAAGAGGCCTCCAAGACCAGACGCCCAGGATGGCCTTCAAGACGATTCCGAAGCGCACCAAGAAGGCCCCCAGACGGCCCAAAGAGGCTCCCAAAGCGGCTTCCGACTGCGTCAGACGGGCCCAGGAACGCCGTAAGACTACCAAAGCGGCCCCCAAGAAGCCCACAAAGGCCCCCAAGCGGCCCAAGGAGGACGCCAAGAGGCCTCCAGGAAGCTCCCAGGAGGCCCCAAGAATGACCCCAGCAGCTCCCAAGAGGTCTCCTCATCTGTTTCCGCATTCTCCTTTTTCCTCCCTCTCCATATTATCCTCTTCCTCCCCCACGTGTTCCCCAAATGGCTTCCGCAACAGCTGGGGAAACGGATGGTGGTCCCATAGCGTGGCCAGGCCTTGCACAGGCGTTTGGCCACAGACTCGCCTTTGAAAAAGGCAGGGGGCGGCGGTGACTCGCCGTAGGCGTCTTCGATCCGCTGCCCCTTGCAGTCTTGCCACAGGTGCGCCCGGCGTGCTGAAGTTCAAGTGGATGTGGGTCATGTTTGAAGCTCCCCCCCCGGGGCGTCGGTCCATTGCGCCGGCCAACCGGGAACCGGCCTGGACTTGCCCGGAGGGCTGCCTCTCTCGCTCCTGCATGGCCCAAGATGGACTCCAAGGTGCCTCCAAGACGGCCCAGGATGCATCCCAGACGGCTCAAGATGGCTTGGCCACGGGGATGCCCCGATGTCTGAGCTAGGGGGCCACATGCGAACCCTACCCCTACCCCCCACGATTTCTGAGGGCGAGGGTGGGGGTTCGCATGCGGGCCCCTATGAGCGGCTTTAGTCCCAAAGGGTCTCGGCCTGATGGGGCCTGGGCCTGATGCGCCCGCCCTGCGGAAGAGAGGCCTCCCCTTGGCCATCCGCCCCGCGAAGGCCCGTCACATTCCCGCGGCGTCGGTCGTCCCGCTCCAGAAGGCCACAAGATGGCCTCCAAGGCAGCCACGAGGTCCCCAAGAGAGCCGCAGACGGCCCCAACATGTTTCCAAGACCGGCCGAGATGCCCCCCCCAAATGGCCCGGGATAGCCTCAAGATCGCCCAGGACGGCCAAAGGGGCCTCCAAAACAGCACACGAGGCATCCGAGAGGACCACCAGGACGGTCTGAAGAAACCAAACTCATTGATTGGTTTTTGAAGGATTTCTGAATTTCTGCATGGTCGGCTTTCCGACGGCCGAAGGCGGCCCAAGAGACAACCAAGATGGCCCCAAGAGCGCCCAAAAGGCCTACGAGATGCCCCCCTGACGGAACAAGAGGCCCCCAAGACAAGCCAAGAGGGCCCTGAGATGGCCCAGGAGACCTCCAAGACGCCCAAGATGGCCCCCAAGACGGCCCTGAAGCGCCCCAACAGAGCCTAAAATCGGCCCAGATAGGCCACCAAAATGGCCGGCCTAGGAGCCTTACCAACGAGCCGCCAATGGCCCCGAAGCGGCCCTCAGAGGCCCCGAGAAGGCTCTCAGGAAGCCGCCAGGAGGCCCAAAGAGGGCCTCAAGAGGCCTCCTCGTCTTCCTCCTCCTCGTCCTCCTCCTCCTCATCATCATCCTCGTCCTCCTGTTCCTCCCTCTCCTCCTCCTTTTCCTTAAACACCAGATGCGTCTTCGGAAAGGTCATACGGGCCTCCCTCCTCCTGCGGCGCCAGACTGGAGAAACCAGAAGGTACCGATGCTGCTACTCCTCGGACCTCTCCCGAGGTGCGTCCTGACCAGAACCTCGTGGCGAATCCAGCCGCGGCGACGAGGGCCGCCCAGGAGGCCCCAAAAAGGGCAAAACGAGGCAGGGGACCCCTGCCAGGGGTATTGCATTGCCGTCGTCGCCGATGCATCTCCGACCCCATCTGCTCCGACCCCATCTAGGAAGCCTGGAGAGGATCTTCGCGGGGATCTGCTGACCCAGGTCAACCCAGACCCGGGTCAGTCAGGCTCTGCAGGATGGGGCAAAACCTTGCGAGATCCTGAAGGCCCTGCAGGCTCCTGCAACATGCTGCAGGATCCTGGCCCTGCAGGATGCAAGATCGGGCGCTCCGGCTGAGCCCCATTTGCAATGGACCCCCGCCGCAGGGCTCCCGCGGGTCCCCAGCCCCACGGCGCGCCGCGTCGCCCTGGCTCCTGAAGCCGACGATGGGGGCGGCCTTGGGGCGGGCGCCGCCGGTCGCGGGCCCGGTGGGCGGCCGGACGGAGGTCGGGGGAGGGGCGGCGGGGAAAAGGAGGAGGAGAGAGGCCCAGACATGATCGCGTCGTGAACAAAACAGGACGGGAATTTGTTGGCCAGTTTCGGAATCGGGGGGCCCTCGCAGGACGTCGGGACCGTCAACAAAACGACTCAGGATGAAAATCTGGCCCCGGAAAGGGTCTGGACTTCTGGGGACGCCGTCCTGAAAAAATCAGGACGTCGCAAGTCTAGGGAGAAAGAGAGACAGAGAGAGAGAGAGAGAGAGAGAGAGAAAGAAAGAGAGAGAGAGAGAGAGAGAAAGAGAGAGAAATCGAGAGAAACAGAGAGAGAGAGAGAGGGAGAAAAAGCTAGATGCCCGCTCGCGGGGCCCTATTTGGGCCTCTCTTTGGCCTCTTGGGCTGGGCGGGGGGGCGCCGCCCCCCCCCCTCCCATCCCCCCCTTTCCCCCCCCTCGCCCCTCTCTCCTCGCCCGCCCCTCCTGGGCCCGTTCCTCCCCCCGTCTGCCCGCCCGTCCCTTCGCCCGTCTGCCCCTCTTCGCGCCCCGCCCCTCTCCTCGCCCCTTGCCGCCTCGTCGCAGGAAGTGGCAGGGGGGGGGGGGGCGGACGAAGAAAGGAGAGCGGAAGAGGGGAAGGAACTAGCACTCGAAATCCCTTGAGAATTGACCCCCCTAAAAAACTGCCCCCCCCCCCCACGGCAACCGAACTTTCTGGACCCCCCTGTAAACAGTGGGCCTCAATATCCCAGACCCCCCTCGTCTTCGGTTTGAAGAACCTTTTTTGCAGAGGATTCTAGCGACGGCATGCGCGCAAGTGCGTTCGACAGATTTCGACATGCGCGCGCGACGCCCGTTTGGTAGCATGTTGTGAAAATATTGAACAACCAATGGTTTTCTTAAGATGTCGCAAGAGCTCGCGCGTAAGCTTTTTTAGCAAATCAGTGTTACGAAAAATTGTGTTTTTGTATGTGTTTGGGAAACTCGATTGCGAAATCCGTTTGGCACCGAAGGTTTTTGAAGGATTTCGGCATGCGCGCGCGACGACGCGCACGTGCGCACTTCGTCCAATGTTTTGTAAGGGATTCTGGAACAAGTGCTGTTAGAACAAAACATGTCACCGCAGAGTGCTTTGTTCAAGGGAACCCGGCCCCAGTGGGATAGGGTAAAGTCATATTTAGGATGGACATGTGGTCAGAATCGTATATGATTTACATACCCGAAGGGGGCGCGATAACGCCGAGGGGGGGGGGATAGAGTCTTATTCTTTTGGAAAGGAGAATATATGATGTACATATTCTGGTGCAATGTGGATAGATATGTGTGGTGAACTCGCTACAATGCAATATGTGCTATTCATTATGAGGTGCGCACACCACGTGGTTCAATATAGGTGGTAGGAGCTAACGTACGCATCTATGTGATGTGAACTTTGTGGTGTAAGGTGTAATGTGCAGTTGATTGCAACGGACCGCCTTGTACTCAAGTGGATAGCTATCGATTCGATCGCAATCCATCGGGTTGCACTCGCGCAAGGCATGTGATACAATCGATGTGGCGGCACTGGCCTTAGCAAACGAATTGACACATCCAATGCTCTTGCGAACATCCCACCCACCCACCCGAAACTTGGTTTGCATAACCCATGCGGTGGCGATTGCGATGCATGCTTGGCGATGGCTGGTGCATCTCTGCGGCCGCGTCAACCCTAGCACGCGCGCGCAGCGGCCAATTTGTTTGGCGCCGCCGACGCGGCCGCGGTGTCGCGGACCGCTGGGCAAATCCGAGCGGGCACTTAACTGCGAGTCGGCAACTCGGGCGGGCGTGGTATTTTGGCAACGTCGACAACGGTAGACACGGTGATGATAGTAGCGATGCTGGCGGCGATGTTGACACCGACGAAGGCGCGACCACCGCGGGCGCCAGCGCTGATCACGCTGGCGATGATAACGGCGTCTTCGCGTCGGTGATGAAGTTTTTGGAAAGAGTTCGACTTGCGCGCGCGGCCGATTCGCGAGGGTGGCTCGCATGGTTTGATTTGATACGGATCGTGCTCCCCATCACGCGTGCAAGGGCGTGCGAATGATGTCGGCATGCGGCGCCAAAGGCCCGATTGGCAGAATTTCATGAACAGGTTGAACACATCTAGTTTTCTTAAGAATGCGCAAGAGCGCGAGCGCACGCTTTTGTTGTAAACTGATGTTGCGAAACCATGTGTTGTTGTATGTGTTTGGGCATTCGGTTTTGAACTTGTTAAGGAACCTCAAGTTTTTGGCGGATTTCGGCATGCGCGCACTTCGTCCCTCTCTTTGCAGCAAAGGATTCTCGCGACGGCATGCGCGAGCGTTCGAACGATTTCGACATGCGCGCGCAAAGCCCGCTTGGTAGCATTTTCTGAAAATGTTGAAATAGACTCATGGTATCCTTTAGAATTCGCAAGAACGCGCGCGCACGTTTTTTTGTTTGGTGTAGTTGCGAAAACCTGTGCATTTTTATATGTGTCTGGGGCACTCGATTTTGAAATCCTTACCTAATCAAAGGTAAGTGAAGGATTTCGGCATGCGCGCGCGAGGACGCTCGCGTGTGCACTGCGTCCAGTTTTCTGAAACGAATGCGCGCATATATCTTTTTGCAGGGGATGACGGGGGGGGCCGATACCGGCCTGGCTGGGATGGTATGGATTCATTTCGGCGATGGTGAAAAATCACGTGTCAATTGCAATACGAAAAGGGGGGCCGATAATCCCGGGGGCAGGGTACAGTATATTCTCTTCTAGAAAGGAGGACTTGCGCTTTGCAATCGATTGGATTGCAATCGAGTGCGTTGCAAGCGATTGCATTGCAACCGGTTGGAGTGCACCGCGCAAGAGAGCCCAGGCGACGGGCAGCGACGACTCGGCGACGGCCACGACATAGCTGCCAGACCCACCACCCGACCAAAGAGGACGGGCAGCGACGAGGCGGCGACGGGTACGACATAGGACATAGCCACCTGACCGACAGCACGGCCCAGACGACGGGCGGCGACGAGGCGGCAACGGGGCGGCGACGGCGGGAACGCAGTCGCCAGACCGCCCAGAGGGGCAAGACGGCGGGCCACAACGAGGTGGCGACCACTGGCGAGGGCGGGAACAAAGCCGCCAAGCCGCGCACACGCGGCCCAGTTCCATGTATCAGAATCAAGAACCCCTTAGTGCAAAGACTCTTTGGGGAATCTGTGCATCTATAACCATAGCCATGTGGCGGGTTCCAAAAATCCGGAACCCGAAAACGTTGTCATCTCTTGGGGACACGTGTTTTACTTCCGCCGGCCTTCCCCAAACTTCCGCCGGCGGAGGCGGCCTCGTATTCCTTCCGCCGGCTTCCGCCGCCCTTCCGCCAAGAAAAATATGACAACTCCTTCGATCCTCGAAAGCGAGGCCCTTTCTGGAGCCCACCGTATATACATGGATAAACATCCATGTAAATGTGCATGCATGTATATGTATGTATATGTCGATGTCTATGTGTGTGCGTGGCTACTACACTGAGCCAAGAGTGACTTTGCGGGGCCAAAAGCTGGAGACTGAACGGTCTCCCGTGTGATCTCCAATCTGGTCCCTCGTGTGGTCTCCCGATTGGTCTCCCAGATGGTCTCCCGTGTGGTTCCCCGCATGGTCTTTCGCACGATTTGGTCCCCCATATGTGGGCTCCCGTCTGGTCCTCCCTCATGGTCCTCCCGCACGGTCTCCCGCACGGTCCCACGCGTGTTCTCTCGAATGGTGCGCCGTATACGGCTCCCGCACGGGTCTCGCGCGGCCCCCCCGGGCGGCCTCCCGTGCACTCTCCCGTGCCGTCCCCCCGTGCGGCCTGCCAAGTAAACAGCCTCCCGCACGACCTCCAGCATAACGGCCCGCATGGTCTCCCGCAGGAGCTCCCGGGTGGTCGACACGCCTGGTCGTTAGTCGGGCCTGTCTCTCGACATGAGGCACATTCCAAAACAGTAGAAAAATAGTATCGGGAAGATGCTTCGACTGCTTTTGATGGTTGTGGGCTGATTCTTTTTTTTGCTATCTTTAATATTTCGTCCGAACTCCGCCTGTAGGAGGACATGCCTTGACCAGCCCCCATGAACAGTAGTTCGTTTTATCTTGACATTTTCAGAAAATATTCAAACCATAACCCACGCAACTCCCCACAAATGATTACGCAGCGAATCTTACAACTCCAGATATTCCTGAAATTCGATAGAAGATAACATGCGTCAAATCACACTGAAACTCAGAGACCACCCGCGCGAGCTCGCTCGCGAACACTTCTCGCAAGCTTTGTGGACGCCATGACAATGGACCCCCTAACAAGCCCAGAGTTGAACTGAACGTGTGTTTAAAATGTCGGAAACTGTTCGGCAACTGTTTAAAACGCGGCTTCTCTATGTGAGAGGCATGTTGAAACCATCTTTTACACATCTGGGAAAGCTGTGTTGCAACACGCCTCCTCTCCATGCATCGCCGTCCACACCGCACGCTCGCGAGCCCGGCCTCCCGCGCGGCCGACCCGCCCCGGAGCAGGCCGCGCGCCGCTATAGCGAGGCCGCCGCCGGCGGCCCGCCTCGCTCGGGTGCGCGCGCACGATGCCGGTGCCGTGCCGCAGCACGGAGAACCTCTGCGGGCCGCGCCCCTCCTGCGCGGCACGGGGCGGGCGGGGGGCAGACATCGAAAGCTCCGAACATAAAAAACATAAAAAAACGTCGAAGGGAGCGTGACACGAACATAAAAACTCCGACATGAAAAGGGAGAGCGAAGGGAGAGTGACATGAAGGGAGAGTGACAAAGAGTGACACGAACATAAAAACTCCGAGAACGTAAACATGAAGGGAGAGTGACACGAACAGAAAAACTCCAAAATCCGCGCGGATTTCTCGGATCGGCGCTGGACCCCCCACCCCTGGCGCGCGGAGCGCGCCAGGGGCGGCGCCGGTGGCGCCGCAAGGAGGGTCCAGCGCGGATCCGAGAAATCCACGAGGACCTCTGAGTTGTTATGTTTATGTCATTTTTCGTTCCCCGTTAGGGGAGGATCCGTCGGCCTCGCCTCGGGAGATCGTGTCGGCTCAAGAAGTCCCTGGACAGCTCGTAGGGAGGTCTAGGAGGGTTTCGGATCAAGCAGCTGGAGCCGCAAGGCAGCACGGAGAATCTCTGCGGGCGGCGCCCCTCCCGGCGCGGCATGGGGCGGGCGGGGAGGATCCGTCGGCCTCGCCTCTAGGGGAACGAAGAATGACATAAACATAAAAACTTGGAGGTCCGCGCGGATTTCTTGGATCTGCGCTGAACCCCCCTGGCGGCGCCACCGGCGCCGCCCCTGGCGCGCTCCGCGCGCCAGGGAGGGGGGTTCCAGCGCCGATCCGAGAAATCCGCGCGGAGCTCGGAATTCTGATGTGTATGTCATTGTTGTTCCTCTTGCCTCGAGGGATCGTATCAGGGCCCTGTAAACCCAGACACGCTAGACCAGGACATACAACATCCCTCGAACAAAAAATCCAGAATGCGGCACGAGAAACAACTGCACCGCAACACTCCTGGAATGAACCCAAACACCCCATAGACCTGGGCTGCACTGGACGACCAAACCTGACTTTGCAGGAAACGGTGTCGTTTCCGCGGCTTGCCAACGTCCTGGTTAGTCCGTGTCCAGGGGCCTGATCGTGTCGAATAAACAGGTTCCCGGATAGCTCGTAGAGGGCTAAGAAGGTCTCAGATATGAAGAAGCTGGAGCAACAGGCTAGCCCCGGAGCTCATTCGGGCTTCTGTGAAACAGCATCGTCGCAGGCTGCTTGAGCGGGTGGCGGGCCCCCAGAGGTCTTTTCTAAGCGTTTTCCATTACGTCTACCAGGAAGCTCTCCAGAAGCTCCTTCGGAAGCTCACTCCATGCTTCCAGAGTTCTTCGAGAGGCCTTCGCACGCCCTTCTGGCGCCCTGCTATCCGGGTTTTGAATTCCACACGTGCGCGGATCGGGAGATCAGATCGGCTGTGCCGAGGTGCACAACTGCGCCCTGCCAGCATCGGGCCGCTGGGAAATCGGAATCGAAACCGAATCGCTCTGAAAACGGACCGAAATCGATGTCGAGTCGAACTCCGATCGATCGGATCGAACTGGGCCCCGGGCGAGGCGAACGAGGGCCCGTCTGGCGCCCAAGCGGAGGGCGTCCACGAGGGGGTCAGCAGGTCGTGGCCGGATACGCATGTGTCAAGCCGAGAGGGGGCCAGAAGACGTGCCGACAGAAGAAGAGGGCGCCACATGGCCACTGCCACGAGATTCCCACCCTCTCCTCGTCACCACCTCCCTCTTTCAAAGGAGATTGCAGGGGGCGCGAAGAAACATCGACACAATTTCCAGGATCCCAGATCTGCTTCTGTCTTTCCCATCTTTCCTATATGCTCAGGAACATGCATACTGTTTGCTCGTGCTTGTGCAGATGCTCTCCTCGTGACTCTTGGCCGGGCAGGAGAAGTCGGAGGAGGGAGGAGGGGGGAGGGATGGAACGGGTGCTGGAGGCTGCTGTGACGCCTACGCCTCCCACTGGAGCGACGACCACAAGCGGGTCTTACGCGATATGACGCAGTGACCTTGCGCGGTGGCTTACGCGGGCCGCCAGCGCGGCACGCTACATGTGAGACGAAGGCGTCTACGCGCGAGCTTACGCGAGCAGCTTACGCGCCAATGTCGGTGAAGAGACCCCGTTTGTTTGCGTCGCTCACTTGGCGCCCGAGGCCTCAGAGCCCCGCTCAGCCTCGCCAGCCTTCACCATGCTGGTTTCCACCATGGTGAGGGGGGGCTGCTGGAGGTCTTCGCTCACAGAGGACAAGATCCACACCACCAAATGTGCGATGTCTTGACTTTTTCAAGAAGGGCCCTTTGGAAATCCCGACATTTCCCCCAGGCCCAGTTATTCATCCTCGGTCTTTTCGTTGACGGTCATGGGCCCGAGAGGACGGCCAATAATCTCCCAACGTGATTTCAGGACGCGAGCATGTCTTTAAAAAGCAGCTCACGGAAGCACTTTGTCTTCCTCATGGTGCCCAATAGCGCGCCCAATCGCGCAAAGCGGACGTAAAGCATCGCTTCACAGAGCGCTATCGGTCGCTTGTGAACGCTATTTGAACGCTGTTCGGCACCACTGAGCGCTATTGGGCAAAGTCATCTGTGCGTGTGTGCGTGAGTGTGTGTGTGTGTGCGTGTGTATGTGTGTGTGTGTGCGTGTGTGCGCGAGTGCGTGTGTGAATGTGTGTGTGTGCGTGCGTGCGTGCGTGTGTGCGTGCGTGCGTGCGTGCGTGCGTGTGTGCGTGCGTGCGTGTGTGTGCGTGTGTGAATGCTTGTGCGTGTGCGTGCGTGTGTGTGTGTGTGTGTGTTTGTGCGTGTGTGTGTGGGTGGCTTTGTGCGTGTGTGTGCATGTGCTTGTGTGCGTGCGTGCGTGTGCGTGACTGTGGGTGCATGCGTGCGTGCGTGCGTGCGTGCGTGCATGCGTGTTTGTGTGTGTGTGTGTGCGTGTTTGTGTGTGCGTGTCTGTGAGTGCGTGTGTGTGTGTGTGTGTGTGCGTGTGCGTGCGTGTGTAAGCGTGTGAGTGTGTGTGTGTGGCGTGTGTTGTGTGTGCGTGTGCCTGTGCGTGCGTGCGTGTGTGCGTGTGTGCGTGTGCGCGCGAGTGCGTCTGTGTGTGTGCGTGTGCGTGCGCGTGTGCGTGTGCGTGTGCGTGTGTGTGTGTGTGTGTGTGTGCGCGTGTGTGTGTGTGTGCGCGTGTGCGTGCGTGTGCGTGCGTGTGTGCGTATGTGTGCGTGCGTGCGTGCGTGCGTGAGTGCGTGCGTGCGTGCGTGTGTTGTGTGTGTGTGTGCGTGTGTGTGTGTGTGTGCGTGCGTGTGCGTGCGTGTGTGATGTGTGTGTGTGCGTGTGCGCGTGCGTGTGTGTGTGTGAGCGTGTGTGTTTGTGTGTGTTGTGCGTGGCGTGTGTGTGTGGTGTGTATGTGTGCGTGTGTGTGTTGCGTGTGTGTGTCGCGCGTGTTCGTGTGGCGGTGCGCGTGTGTGTGTGTGTGTGTGTCTGTGTGTGTGCGTGTTCGTGTTGGTGTGTGCGTGTCGTGAGTGTGTGCGGTGTGTGCGTGGCGTGCGTGCGCCGTGTGCATGCGTGTGGTTTGCGTGTGCCGTGCGTGTGTGTGTGTGTGTGTGCGTGCGTGTGCGTGTGTGCGTGTGCGTGTGTGTGCGTGTGTGTGTGTGTGGTGTGTGTGTGCGTGTGCGTGTGCGTTTTCGTGTGTGTGTGTGTGCGTGTGGTGTGTGCGTGTGTGAGTGCGTGCGTGCGTGCGTGCGTTCGAGGTCGTGCGCGTGTGTGTGTGCATGCGTGCGTGCGTGCGTGTGCGTGTGTGCGTGTGCGCGTGTGCGTGTGCGTGTGCGTGCGTGTGTGCGTGTGTGTGTGTGTGTATGCGTGCGTGCGTGCGTCCGCGTGTGTGCGTGTGTGTGTGTGTGCATGCGCGTGTGCGCGTGCGTCTTTGTGTGTGCGTGCGTGCGTGCGTATGTGCGTGTGTGCGTGTGTGTGTGTGTGAGTGCGTGTGTGTGTTATTGTGTGTGTGCGTGCGCGCGAGCGTGCATGCGTGCGTGTGCGTGCGCGTGCGTGTGTGTCTGTGTGTGCGTGTGTATGTGTGTGTACATATGTGTGTGTGAGCGTGTGCGTGTGTGTGTTCGTGTGTGTGTGCGTGTGTGTGTGTGTGCGTGCGTGCGTGTGGGTGTGTGTACGTGCGTGCGTGCGTACGTGCGCGTGTGCGTGTGCGTGTATGTGTGTGTGTGTGTGTAGAACCGGGCGGCCGGCGGCGGCGGCGTCCGCTCGCACGGAGAACGTCAGCGGCAGCTCGGGCTCGAGCGGCTCGAGCACCTGGAGGTCGTCTACAATTTGTCGGCGACATTCGAGAGTCCAAATATGGCGGATTTCGGAAACCCTGAACCCAAAAATCGTTTTCATCTCTTGGGGGCGCATCAATTATTTCCGCCGCCTTCCGCCGAGCTTCCGCCGGCTTCCGCTTGTGGAGGCGGCCTCGCTTTACTTCCGCCCCCGTTCAGCCGCGGAAGAGATGACAACTCCTTCGATCCTCGAAAGCAAGGCCCATTTTGGAAGGCCTCACGTACATGAACACGGCCCCCCAGTCCCAGCCTCGTGATACGAGTGTTCGCGCAGAGCGCACTCTCGAAGCGAACGTGGGTTTCTGTACGTGCTCGTCATTCCTTCACTCCTGGGATATGGGGGGCAAGACGTGCGTCCACATCCGAGCTTGGAGTTTCGGGCTCCCTTCCCCAGAAGCCCGAAGCACATTGGTATGGATCGAGCGCTGGCCCGGAGGGGCTCGATATTTATCCATATATGGTGCGCCTCGGCCTCGTGGCGCCCCTTCCATGATAACCCAAGACGCACTGGATATGGATATAAATCTTGCCCGCAACATCCGCTGGCCCCCTTGTGGGGCCACCAGGCTGTAGGGCGAAGGTTTGCTGCTCCCTGCACCAGTTGCAGTTTCCAGTTTCGTATGTGATGGCTCGAGTTTCTGCTTCCTACTAATAATTGTTCATGACCGCGCGAGGGGGGGAGCCGAAAAACGCCAATTTACCACGCCCCTTCGGGGTTCGCAGACTTCTCGGGGGGCCGTGGGACACGTAAAAGAATATGAGATCCGCGCCCCTGAAACCATGAATACTGGTAAAGTATGCAATGTTCGCGTCCCCAAAGCCAGAAGCCTTGCAAATCAAGCGGCATCCGCGTCCTCGAGGCCAGGAACCCTGGTAAATTATGCAAGATTCGCGTCCCCGAAACAATAAACCTACAAAAACACCTGACACCTCCCTGACAGCTCGCCCCTTGGCCCACCGCCAGCCCCACACCAAGGGGCGAACATATATACGGGCGCAGCACCGCGCTGGATGCGTACCCTTCGGCTGACCGCCCGTACGTGGCACAAAGTGCTGCTTGGTTACGCCTGGGATATATCCTCACCGCCCTGGCTTAAAACTTCCAGCGCCATAACCTCACAACCCTCGCTTAAAACTACCAGCGAAATACCCTCACGCTCCTGATCTCAAGCTGTTAGCGAAATATACTCATACACCCTGGCCTAAAACTGCCAGCGAAATATCCTCACCCCCTGGCCTAAAACTGCCAGCGAAATATCCTCAACCCCACACTCAAAACTGCCAGCGAAATATCCTCAACCCCCTGGCCTAAAACTGCCAGCGAAATATCCTCAACCCCCGGGCCTAAAACTGCCGGCGAAATATCCTCACATCCCTCGCTTAAAACTGCCAGCGAAATATCCTCGCCACCTGGCCTAAACCTGGCAACACAATATCCTCAACCCCCACACTCAAAATTGTCAGCGAAATATCCTCACCACCTGCCCGAAAACTGCCAGCGAAATGTCCTCAACCCCCTGGCCTAAAACTGCCAGCGAAACATCCTCACACCACTCGCCTAAAACTGCCAGCGACATATCCTCACCACCTGGCCAAAAACTGCCAGCGAAAAATCCTCAACCCCTGACTTAAAACTACCAGCGACAAATCCGCACCCCTGGCCTAAAACTGCCAGCAAATATCCTTCACCCCCTGACTTAAAACTGCCAGCGACATATCTGCATCCCCCTGGCCTAGAACTGCCAGCGAAATATCCTCGACCCCCTGGCCTAAAACTGCCAGCGAAATATCCTCAACCCCCTGGCCTAAAACTGCCAGCGAAATATCCTCACATCCCTCTCTTAAAACTGCCAGCGACAAATCCTCACCCCCCTGGCCTGAAACTGCCAGCGAAACATCCTCAACCCCCTGACTTAAAACTGCCAGCGACATATCCTAACCCCCTGACCTAAAACTGCCAGCGAAATATCCGCATAACCCCCCTGGCCTAAAACTGCCAGCGAAATATCCTCAACCCCTGACTTAAAACTGCCAGCGAAATATCCTCCCCCATGGCCTAAAACTGCCAGCGAAATATCCTGAACTCCCTGGCCCAAAACTGCCAGCGAAATATCCTCACATTCCTCACTCAACACCAACACTGCCAGCGAAATATCCTCAACCCCCTGACCTAAAACTGCCAACGGAATATCCTCAACCCCCTGACTTAAAACTGCCAGCGAAATATCCTCAACCCCTGACCTAAAACTGCCAGTGAAATATCCGCATAACCCCCCTGGCCTAAAACTGCCAGCGAAATATCCTCAACCCCTGACATAAAACTGCCAGCGAAATATCTCAACCCCACACTCAAAACTGCCAGCGAAATATCCTCACCCCCCTGGCCAAAAACTGCCAGCGAAATATCCGCATAACCCCCCTGGCCTAAAACTGCCAGCGAAATATCCTCATACCCCCTGGCCAAAAGCTGCCAGCGAAATATCCTCAACCGACTGGCCTAAAACTGCCAGCGAAAGATCCTCAACCCCCTGGCCCAAAACTGCCAGCGGAACAACCTTACCCCCTGACTTAAAACTGCCAGCGAAATATCCTCGACCCCCTGGCCTAAAACTGCCAGCGAAATATCCTCAACCCCCTGGCCTTAAACTGCCAGCGAAATATCCTCAACCCTGACTTACAACTGCCAGCGAAATATCCTCACCCCCCTGGCCAAAAACTGCCAACGAAATATCCTCGATCCCGGGAAACAAAAGTGCCATCTAACGGCTTTGGTGACTCAGTTGTTCTGTGTGTTGTTCTGTCAGTCTACTTCCCGAAATTCAAAATCCAGGCTGCGCCCGTAAATTATACAATATTCGCGTCCCCGATAAAGTACGGAATGCTCGCGTACCCGAGGTTATACACCTTTGTAAATTATGCGATACTCGCGCATCCGAAGTTATAAACTCCTATAAAGTAAGCAACACTCGAGTCTCCGAGGCTATACAACTTCGTAAACTGCAGTATTCGCGCCCTCGGAGCCATAAACCTTCGCAAATCATGCAATAGTCGCGTCCCCGAAGCCATACAACCTCGTAAAGTACGCAATTGTTGAGTCCTCGAGGCCATCAACTCTCGTAAATTACGAAATGCCCGCGTCCCCGGAGCCATAAACCCTTGCAAAGTATACAATATTCGCGCCCCCGTAAGCATACACATTCGACAATTATAAATATTCGCGTCCCCAGGGCCAGCAGCCCTTGTAAATCACACAGCAGTCTCGCCTTCGAGGCTACGATCCCTCGAGCATTACCGCAGATGCTCGCCTTCGAGGCCATGGTCTGTAGTAAATTACACGGTATTCGCGCCGTCGAGGCCAAGACCGCCCCAAGACGGCCCAAGAAGCCTTCAGGAGAGCCCCAAGACTGCCCCAGAGGGCACCAGGACAGCTCAGGAGGCACCCAAGACGGCCCAAGAACTCCTGAAGATGGCACCAAGAGAGGTCCAAAGCGGGACCACGAACCAACGATTTGAGCTTTCAGCCCCGCGAGGGCCAAAGATGGCTCCAAATGGCTGCCAAGCCGCCCCAACAGGCTTCCAAGAAGCATCCCAAGAGGGCAGCCAAAGCCACGCGATGTTGCCCAACGTAGCCTCAAGAAGCCCCGAATCGCTGCTCCAATACATGGCACGAAAAAGAACTCGAGAATAACAATACGGACTTCAACAATACGTTCTGAACCTGACTCTGCAGCTTACCAATCGCCCTCGCAGGAGATTCCGACCTTGTTTCGCAACGGCGCAAACGAATTCCAGCACAGCTCTGACATAGCCCATTCTGATAGAGAGGGGGCCGGCGGCGGGGGGCGAAGCCTTTACGGATAATCTGGGCTATCCGCTGGGAGGGGGGGGCGGGGGAGGTGCCAGCCGATCACCAAACCTTTTCGCTCTGGGCAGCCCCACGTGTGCCCGCGCGCACCGGTTCTGCGCACCCCCTTTGAACCTGCGCAACCAGCCAGGTCAGGTTGCCTCGGGGGGGCGGGGGGCGGGCCTTGCAGAGGCAGCCGGGGGGTCCGAACTGGCTGGGGCCCCAGAAAAGCGAGCAAGAGGCGGGATGAGGCTACATCCGTTCAAAAGCGGATCCTGGACCCCTCGCGGGGTCCATCTGGTGCAGTGTTTCACCCTGGAGCCGTTTTACACTGTCCATTGGGCCCGAAAGTGGCTACCTGAGGACGAGGAAGACAAAAACCTCTCCAAACCAAGAACCTCGCAATAGCCCGCCCTTCCTGCTGGCCAGAAACCTTCCCGCCCTTCCTGCTGGCCCGACAGCCCAGGTTATCGTTAGGTCGGGCATGTCCTCCTACAGGGGGACTTTGGACGAACAATTCGAATACCCCAAACATATTGAAACATTGCAAAAATAAATATTACCCCAGTGCGACCCTACCTAGAAGTTGGAGCCCCTGTGAAAGCAGCATTAGTTGCTATGCTATGCTATGCTATGTTATGCCATGCTATGCAGCGCTATGCTATGCTATGCTATGTTATGCTGCGTTATGATGTGCTATGCTATGCTATGATATGCTATGCTATGATATGTCATGCTGCGCTGTGCTATGCTGCGCTATGCTATGCTATGTTATGATATGCTAAGCTGCGCTATACTATGCTATGCTCTGCTCTGCTATGCTATGCTGCGCTGTGCTATGCTGTGCTGTGTTGTGCTGCGCTATGCTATGCTATGATATGCTGCGCTATGCTATGCTATGCTGGGCTATGCTATGATATGCCGTGCTGCGCTATGTCATGCTACGCTATGCTATGCTATGCTGTGCTCTGCTATGCTAAAGCTCAGCGAAGCTAAGATGAAGGTAAGCTAAGCTAAGATAAACCTGAACTAAGATGAAGCTAAGCTAAGCTAAGATGAAATAAGCTAAGCTGAGATGATATAAGCAACGCTAAGCTAAGGGGACGTAACTGGGGGAACCGCGGGCCGGA